CAGTAGAGCCAGCATCTGAACTATTACTGCCGCACTTATTGCAAATTCATGTTATTCTCAAAACTCAGCTCAGACGCTAAAAAATGAATCCATTTGCAGGTACTCTTGGACTCCAATATTGCAATCAGCGACTATCAAGTCAATGGTTGCAGGGAGAGTCAGCCAAATGGCCAAGTCATTCACGCAATAGTTCAAGGCTCAATAATGCCGTAATAATCCAAGGCTCGTCTCCATGCTTAGGTATTGATTGACATTCCGCACATTCTTTGTCTATCACTAAACTGCAGAGCTGTCACCACCAAGACCCTGGATTGCCCATCCCAGGCTACGGATAAAGGGCTAAGGAGAAATAAAGATAAATGGCGATGGGAATGTGGCTATGGAAAAAATGGCTGCGGACCAAAGATAGAGCCAGTAGAGCCAGCATCTGAACCATTTCTACCGCACTTATTGCATATTCATGTTATTCTCAAAACTCAGCTCAGGTACACGCTCCTTGGCTGCATTTGCTGGTACTCTTGGACCGCAAAATTGCAAACAGCGACTATCAAGTCAATGGTAGCAGGGAGAGTCAACCAAATGGCCAAGCCCTTCACGCAATAATTCAAGGCTCAATAATGCCGTAATAATCCAAGGCTCGTCTCCATGCTTAGGTATTGAATGACATTCCGCACATTCTTTATCTATCACTAACCTGCAGAGCTGTCACCACCAAGACCCAGGATAGCCCATCCCAGGCTATGGATAAAGGGCTAAGGATAAATACAGATAAACGGCGAAGGGAAAATGGCTATGGAAAAAATGGCTGCGGACCAAAGAAAGAGCCAGTAGAGCCAGCATCTGAACTATTAGTACCGCACTTATTGTGTATTCATGTTATTCTCAAAACTCAGCTCAGGACCACAAAATTGCAAACAGTGACTATCAAGTCAATGGTTGCAGGGAGAGTCAGCCAAATGGCTAAGCCATTCACGCAATAATTCAAGGCTCAATAATGCCGTAATAATCCAAGGCTCGTCTCCATGCTTAGGTATTGATTGACATTCCGCACCTTCTTTATCTATACCTAAACTGCAGAGCTGTCACCACCAAGACCCAGGATTGCCCATCCCAGGCTATGGATAAAGGGCTAAGGATAAATAAAGATAAACGGCGATGGGAAAATGGCTATGGAAAAAATGGCTGCGGACCAAAGAAAGAGCCAGTAGAGCCAGCATCTGAACTATTAGTACCGCACTTATTGTGTATTCATGTTATTCTCAAAACTCAGCTCAGGACCACAAAATTGCAAACAGTGACTATCAAGTCAATGGTTGCAGGGAGAGTCAGCCAAATGGCTAAGCCATTCACGCAATAATTCAAGGCTCAATAATGCCGTAATAATCCAAGGCTCGTCTCCATGCTTAGGTATTGATTGACATTCCGCACCTTCTTTATCTATACCTAAACTGCAGAGCTGTCACCACCAAGACCCAGGATTGCCCATCCCAGGCTATGGATAAAGGGCTAAGGATAAATAAAGATAAACTGCGATGGGAAAATGGCTATGGATAAAATGGCTGCGGACCAAAGAAAGAGCCAGTAGAGCCAGCATCTGAACTATTAGTACCGCACTTATTGTGTATTCATGTTATTCTCAAAACTCAGCTCAGGACCCCAAAATTGCAAACAGTGACTATCAAGTCAATGGTTGCAGGGAGAGTCAGCCAAATGGCTAAGCCATTCACGCAATAATTCAAGGCTCAATAATGCCGTAATAATCCAAGGCTCGTCTCCATGCTTAGGTATTGATTGACATTCCGCACATTCTTTATCTATACCTAAACTGCAGAGCTGTCACCACCAAGACCCAGGATTGCCCATCCCAGGCTACGGATAAAGGGCTAAGGATAAATAAAGATAAACGGCGATGGGAAAATGGCTATGGAAAAAATGGCTGCGGACCAAAGAGAGAGCCAGTAGAGCCAGCATCTGAACCATTTCTACCGCACTTATTGCATATTCATGTTATTCTCAAAACTCAGCTCAGGTACCATTTCGAGGGGACGCCGGTCATTTTCCAACACGAAAAAAACGGTCGTTTTACAACACAACTCCATCAGGCACCGAATTTTCACCGCCCAAATTCTGCGCACCGCAGCCGAAAGAAAAAGATGCTTCAGGACCACTCTTTATTGAGTGAACATAAACAATCTTCAAAATTGGTGGCGTTGACCCCTCTCATTGGCATATCTGTCATTGGGGATCATCCCAAAATAGGGATGGAAACACACGAAGAAAAGAACCACCCAGCTCTGGGGGTGAGTTGTTACGTTCTATCCCTGATGAATCATCACCCGATCTGAACGAACTTCGAAAGCTTGTCGACATCAAGACCGGTCACATCAGTCATTCTCACAGATTATTTCCTGGACATCCGGATTGGAATGATGCAATATCACTTCTAGCAGTCACTCATCGTCCAAGCAAGGAAGACCATCGACTATGCCCCGCATGTCTGATGGAGACCCCTGCATCACTATCGATCTGTGTGATGTGCAAAGGATTTTTGGTCAGTCATGGATGGAGAAAGCGAATCAAGATTACCGTGGCTACTGTACCAAATGCCGAATCACGTCCTCGAGAGGAAGATCTCAAAGACCATGTCAAGAAAGCATGGGAGGAAGTGAAAATCGATTTGACTGGTGAAGATGATGACGATGAACTGATGCAGGATGATGATGACGTCACCATGAAGAGTCCAGAACAAGAACCTCAACAAGAAGAAGAGAATGATGATCAAGCCTCGAAAAAGGGTGACATCAATGACGAGAGAAGAGACTTCAGAAAGCAAGATGAGGTCGATGAATTTCTCAATGAGGAACGAAAACAAACCGATGAGAATGATGATGAAGAGAAAGAAGACGGTGAAATCAACATCGAAGAGTACGAGGCCGGAGAAGCTCATGATGCAGTGATCGAGTACCCCAAATGGCTGAAGAGGATCGAATTTGGATCAAAGGTCCTACCGATCGAACCTTGTACAATTGGAGATGCTCAGCCGGAGCTCATCAAAATCCTCCTATTACAGATTGGGTTGCATATCGTCAGGATCTACAGACTATTCCAACAGAACTTCTGTGGAGACATTGAAACGGCATGGCAACACTTTCAACAGAACCAGAACTTCAGGATGGACTTGGATTCAAGAGTGCCATACCTAGGTGAGGATGAAAATGGTGAACTCATCGAACCAACTGCACAACAGATGAAGGAGCTATACCAGGAAATCGGCCGACCAGAACACAAGGACGACATCGGGGAAGAGGGATTCGTCAATGCATACTATGGGGCAGTGGTACTCAAGCGACTTCTCGTATATACCCTTGAATGCGGTTACACATATGAAGACTTGCAAAATATCTTCTACGACGAAGAGATGGAGAAGCTGTCGAAACGTGACACATCAAGGGATGAGATGAGAAAGACCACAGCTGCCCGCGAAGCCCTTGACCGACAAGATGTCATGGTCAGAAGAATCATTGCGGGTGCATATAAAGTGAATGCTGTTTATTTCTTCAGGAACGTCGACTTTCAAGACACAATCACATTGAATCCAGTTGACATAGTGTGTGCTCTTCGACCACCACTTCGAAGAATATCAGTTTTGCATCTGATCCTTCAAAATGGCCGACAATTACCGCGACCTCTACTCCAGAGGCTGTATGATGCGATCAATGACTACAACCACATTAAGCAACGAGATGATCAACGACCAAGATGGGGCATCCACATGTCAGAAGCCCACCTGGTCGCGATTGCTGATACCCCGGTTCCTGCCAATCGTGAACGTGCTACCCCGGCAACTGGCAAATCAAAGGCAGCCCCGAAGGCAGCACCGACACTGGGCAGAGTATCAAAAGCGAAAGCATCATCAACAGCGACATGGAGAACCGTCGAAGCTGCTCCTCCGCCGAAACAAGCCCGAGTGCCTCCGCCACAGAAAGGTGGAAAAGACCAAGGGAAAGGTGGAAGATCTTATTCACACCGTGGTGGCGACTGGAACCATCAAGGATACTATGGATGGGGATACAGATGATAAATCGACATGACCTCTGCATAGGTCCTGATTGAACCTGGCGAAGCGAGGCAGCAATCATTGCTCGTGATTTGCCTCTACTTCATTATATGAATGATTTCTGAGAGGAATCTGAGCCGGCTAATTGAGAACCACATATTTTTTGAATATCATTGCACGAAACGCTGAGTTTCTACAGCGGTCTACGTCTCAACTGACGAAGGAACGGGAAGGTAAACTTCTAGTTCCATAGTCATCTTCGTATTTCGATTTTATTTTCATGCTTGAGTGGGATTCCATGCTGGCTACGCCACATCGGATGAACCTCAATGCTGTACATAGACTACGTCTTGTCAGCGTGCATGTGAACAGACCTTTTGTTTCGTTTGGTAGAGATCGTAGCAAGCCGCATTGTAGACTGGGAGTTCTGAATGAACTTTTAACTCTCCATAATTCGATAAATGTATACCTGCAAATGCGACGGAACGATTTAAGGGGCATTCCTTTACGCGTGATCAACAAAGTTGGTCATGCGTGGGGGGTGCGAATGGGAACTAGACCCCAATACAACAAGTATTCCCATGTACATAACCTTGATCATTCCAAAGCCAGGGAGACACAACTGTCGCTCCCTTTGGCTCAAGACGCCCAAACTGCAGGATTCCGTGAGAAAAGAGTTCCATGCCGAAGTTGCGACCCCGTTCGTCATAAGTGAAAGCACATTGCAACAACAACTGACCAAAGTACATAATCGGGGAAGGAACCTCCGATTCACAATTATGTTTATATATACATATCAGGTAAACACATGCAAAATCCAAGTCTAAAATGTAGCCCATAAATTGTTTTTTTTCTGCATTTGTTCGTGAGTTGCTATGTGTTTCCCTTGGTCAGCGACTGTTACTTTTGGTAAAATCTACGGGGATGACGCCGATAGCTCCAGGAGATGAGACTGGGGAAGATTCGGAGCAACTGCCACTGGGCCGACCGGGTAAACCCCGACATGGTAAACCGTAACGCATCTATGGATGAATGGGAGATTTAATAGTGATTAATGGTGATTTAATGGTGGTTTATATGGGAATATCTATGGAATATCTATGGTTAATAGTGATTAATAGTGGATTAATGGCGATTAATGGTGGTTATTAATGGCTAATAGTGAATTAATGGTGATTACCCTCTAGTAATTCAACATAGCTATTGAAACTGGCCATGTATAGTTTATTTACCCACTAAAAATGGTGATTTTCCATAGTTATGTTTGTTTACCAGAGGGTAGCACTTTGAGAACTGGAAAATGGCCCATTTCGTTTCGTTGGTTCATGTTCGTTGATTTACCATGATTTACGTGTTAAACATTGCGTTGTTCCTGTTCGCAAACTGTGACAGATGACCGGATGGTAATCAGACCTGGCAATCGAACAGGCTTCGCATCCATGCAGTGACCAAGAGACTTGATACAGATGATGAGGGGAAACAATCATATGCGACATGCTGCAGAAACCATCATCCATCTAGAAACAATGTTTTATCATATTTTATCCTAACTTTTGGTGGTTTTTTTCAACCCCTTTTGGTTGATGATATCCACCTATGCATCTTGTTCCTGATATGTCCATGTTTGTTGAAGCATCATTCCGGCCACAGAGTTTCACATCATGTCCTAGATATATCACTGTAGCTCTTGAACGTGTGCTTATCCATGAGCTGAGAATCCTACAAGGAAGGCTATCTATGAACCATTGGGCTGGATGAACCGGCATGTTATAGGCAGCGGGTGCAGGATCTTTACTCCAACAAGTCTCCGAAAACCGGTTCCGGGACATTCTTGGACGAAATCACTTTAGATCATACATGATTACCCTCTGGTGAACTAACATAGCAATGGAAAATCACCATTTTTAATGGGAAAATCCACTATCAATGGCCATTTTCCATTGCTATGTTAGTTCACCAGAGGGTATACTATATGATACTATCCCCAATTTTAATGGGGGAAACCATGCCGAAAAAACACCGAAACACTCCAAGCAACTAATACGGGACGATCGGCTGATATTCCAATAGTAATAGCTTGACCCCGATGATATATTAGGTACTAACCAGATCATCTTCTAAAACTGTACAATAATCCACTTTGATGATTGGAACGTTGCCCAAACTGCACACATGATATAGATGTCATTACATTCGCATAAACTGTCATTAACCAATGTTTGGTTATACATGGTTCTATACATGGTTATGCCCTTATTTTTCATCAAAACCAAATTCATTTTTGTCAAAACCATCCATTTTTTCATATTTTTTCCCATCAAAACCCGTGCAAAGGGTCTCCGTTGCCGGAAACTCCCAGGCTACACCTTCGCTTCCTTCCTGACATCTCCGGAAGCGACGTGGCGTCAAAGCCTCGAAGTTCTGGGCAGCATGGAGCCTCGGCAGCTGGAAGGTCATCCGGCGTGGCTGGGAAATTTGAAACAATGGGAAGATATGGGACATCTGATAGGAAAATATGGGAAAATCCTCCGTAAATGGGAAATCTGATATGAACATATGTTATGGGAACAAGCAACTATAAATGGAGGTTTATAGTTGGGGAATCGCATGAAAATATAGGAGTTTCGGAGTTTCCATTGCAATGTTTGATTACAGGAGAGTATACGATGGTTATCCTCCAGGAAATTCATATAGTCTACCCTGATGGGGTTCCACTAAAAATTGACTATTTCCGGGGTCTCTGTTAATTTGGGGGAGCCTATTAATGATGGTTATATGATATATGGATGGTTGGGTATAGGAGTTGATCCTTCCTTCAGAAATACATCCACAAAATATCAACAAATAGGTCATAACATGTGACAATGTTGAAGTTGGAGCCAGAAAATCGTAGCTCATCAGAGTTGGAGACGGGAGCTGGGCAGTTTCGGCAGTTTCACCAATGTCCCGCCAGGATCCCCCAGATTTGCAATTCCAAAAGCTCGAAAACTCCCAGCCAAATCCCAACACATCTGAATCTGGATGTTAACAATCCATTGCTAACAATCCATAATTATCCATAAAAAAAATCAATTCAATTGCCATTCAAAGATCAGCAATTCCACCAAAAGATCCCTGAAAAACCATTGGATGCAAATTGGACTTTTAGTGAAGAACTACTTTTGTTTGAATCGATTAAAAGTCCCTGAACAAATCGTTCAACGACATCCATAAAACCCCACAACAACATGACTTAAATACTCCAATGTGAACATCAATGAAATTGCCATTCATTGCCATTCAAAGATCCCTTAAACATCCTTAAACCATAAACAGATTCTTTTAATGATCCATTAAAAGATCCAACAATAGATCTATCGATAGATCTATCAATCATTACCCTCTGGTAAACGTTTACATAACTATGGAAAATCACCATGCTATTAATGGGTAAATCCACTATTTCTATGGCCATTTTCAAGTTCGCAAACTGTTAGTTTACCAGAGGGTAATCACCATTAATTCACTATTAGCCATGAATAACCACCATTAATCGGAAACCATTAATTCACTATTAATCACCATTAACCATAGATATTCCATAGATATTCCCATATAAACCACCATTAAATCACCATTAAAAGATACAGATCCATCAAGCTCCCAGGACACCACTGGAAGCCTTTGGGACCTCGTCACCTGCAACGCCGTGTTGGCGAGTGCCACGTGGATTACGTGGCGTCCGGCGTTGCAGCTGCTGAGGGCCATGGAACGCAGGGCGCTGCGGGGTGATGTGGACGCTTGGTTGGGGAAGGTGGTTAACATGTGGAAAAAATGGGCAGATTTCACGAATTTCATGGGAATTTCATGGGAATTTCCATGAGAATTCTGCTGGTGATAGAGATGGTTTAATGGGAATTGATGGGGTTCCTATGGGGGGTTAGAGGGATTTATTGGGATTTCATGGATGGCTAGTGGTTGTTTCTGCAACAAATGCATGGTCAGATGATCCCGAGTCAGTGGTTGGGTCATGGCACTTGAAATAGACAGTATCGATACTGACCTTCTATTTCAGTTTTTTTCCTGCTAGGTTTTCTCCAGAGAAAACCAAAAAATGATTGTGGCAATTTCTCAAACTCCCAAAAAGATACCCTCTGGTAAACTATCATAGCTATGGAAAATCAAGATTTTTAATGGGTATAAATCCACTATAAATCACCATTTTCAATAGCAAACTGTTAGTTTACCAGAGGGTAGACACATTTGGAAATTTGTTTGTTGTGAGGTCAAGGTCATCTACAAGTGGAGAGAATCAAAACATATCAAAAGTGTCTACTTTGCCATTGCGGGCGCCTGTGTCCAGTTGATCGTTGCAAAAGTGAGGGCCAACCTTGTAGGTGAAACTAGGTGAAGTGTTAATTAAATTGTTGTGATGTTCGTTCCAAAAATAGACTGAACGCTTCAACGTCAAACCAGTCCAACCAATAAAATTTAGCTGAATGATCATTAAACATGAACAATATCCAAGTAACATATAGGTGATATGATATATGATATAACTGCTGGCTATATTCAGCTACCTTTTTATAGCCAGTTAAACATCAACATTTGTGGTGCGGCTTCCGTGGCGACTGCCGGCCAAGCGCACAGGCCACACACAGCAGTGCTTTGGCAGTGCTAGAGTGGCAGCTGGCACTGGTGGTTGAGGCGGGCCCTCAATGGTTAATGGTGGTTGAAAATAGTTAATTGAGGCAATACAATGGTATAGTGAACAATAATAATGAATAGTGAAATAATAATTAATACATATTAACACTATAATTTGTAACAGAGTTAAGAATAGTGAATAATAGTGAACGATAATGGTTAATGATAGTGAACACTCATGGTTAGTGGATGTGGCGGTTTACCCTTCGGTAATCAAACGTAGCTGGGAAAATCATTGAACTGCATCGGGGGAATGTTGGTTGATTTTGGTTGTTCGTGTGGATCATTCGTGGTTCATTTGGTATATTCACCAGCCAATGGGATATTGGAAAAGAATTATTGCGCTAGATGGTAAAGAATGATGGTCTGTGTTATTTCTTGTGGATGGTTGATAGCGATCTTGGGGCAACTTGTCTCGACACAATTTATGCAAAGCATGATCAGGTGTGGTGTACCCCTTGATGTATTCGGAAACGATGGAACAGACGTATCTATATCTAAGCCTCTTAGGACGAGAAAGAGACCGGCAAGATATATGGTGGAGAGTTAGAGGTGACTTGTTATCCTCTAGTATGATCAAAAGATGATAATGAGGCTGGAACTGGAAAACCGCAATGTTTTTCTTTTATAGCATGTTCATTTGTCAATGGGTATGACTGGTGATGAATGGTCAGCTTGCCAGCTTAGATTTCCGGAACATACCAACGAGAATTTCGGAGATCTTCGGTGCGTCAAAAAAGTTATCAGTTACCCCAAAAAAACATTGGATGACTGCCAAGCCGGATCATTCCCAGCCATTCGGGGATTATACACACACACACATATATATATATATATATATTATATATACATATACATGATATCATATAATATCCATAAAGACAGATGCCAACCATCTTGCTTGTGACTGTATACCCTTGCAGAAATAGCTATAGGCTACAACCTGTTGTTTACAAGGCAATAGTAAACAATCCCACATTCTTTCACCATAAATGGGCGGTGGCCAGGAAAGGGCACAAGTTGGCGCGCTACAAGGCAACCAGATCAGCTCAGTTGCATCCTGGCAGTTGCTGGAACCGTGGGACAAAATTTATGGGGGGATAAATTACCAAGAGTTTAATGAAGGGTATAATCTTCAAAAATAGTGGTGAAACATGGTGAAACTGTATCATCAGCAGTTGGGTTTCTTATATCTTGGAAACATACTGTATAAAAATGGCTTGTCTATGACTAGAAAGGATAGATAGATAAGAGGTGAAACCACGAGTTAATGTGGGTTTATATGACCAAAAGGTAGCGGTATAGTCAAGAGTTCTCTAATGGACATATATGGAAATATCAGTACCATCTGGTATCCCCTGGTAGTGGCTATCGAACTACATGGGCAATCTATACCATTCCAATCTGTCAAATTGCCAGCGGGTAAGCAGAATGGGTGGTTGGTGTTTATGCTTATTGGTTGGTTAACCATTAAAAATTCGGGGAATAACCAACACCAACGATGTGGAGATCTTTTTGTATGACCATCCAGTGGGAAGTTTTGGGATACCAAAGTTTTGGGATCATGGGGTTGATTGGTGGTTTCAAGTGGTTCTTTGTTCAACAGTTCAACCCTTGGAATGGGAGTATGATCCCATTTCACACTATGAAAAAAAGGGCCTGAAAAAGCAACAAGATGCGAACTCTCAGTTTTCTGTGGAGTTACCGTGTGGCAAGCTGATGTGGAAAACCCATGGTTCCCCTAAGACAATGATCTACAAATGGTGGGTTTTCCACATCTATGTCAGTTTACAGGAAGGTAGCTTGGGCTCTGTGTGTTTTTGTGACATGGCATGGTAACATGGCATTTTAGATTCACATACCCTCTGGTAAACTAACAGTTCGCTATGGAAAATCACCATTTTCAATGGGTAGTTCCACTATTTCTATGGGCATTTTCAATAGCTATGTTAGTTTACCAGAGGGTATATATATATATATAATCATATATGTCCGTATCCTCCGGCTTTGCCAAACGTGGCCGGAAAATCCTGGAGCTAATCCAGCGATGGCAATGATGACACCGGAGGGTACACCTCATGAAATATCCCATTATTAGCCAGTGTTAAGCCATTATAGTACCATTAATATCCATTAATTCATCACCATTCACAAAAAACATCCATTCATCACCATGCACATTTTGACCTTTTTGATGGATTAAATCGCCAATGGCTTAAACACTATTGTTCGTGATTATTAAATACTATCATTCATATTATAATTCACTCTTGAAAGTATTATATATCTTAAGCTTTATTGGCCATGACTAACCACCATTCATCTGGGTAAATTATAACGACCTCACTGTTCTCCCTCACTGGAATCATGGCTTATTTTAGGGAAATCATCCCAAATGGCCGCAAGATTCAGGTCAGTGAAATATTATGGCCTTTACCCAGATTAATAACCACCATTAATCACCATTACTCACCAGTAACCACCATTAAACATAGATATTCCATGATATTAATCACCATTAACCACCATTAAATATACCCAGATTCATGGTATTTTCACCGATTCCTTCCGGGTGCCAGGTACTTCTCACCTCCTTCCTTCGCCCGGCCCTGTGGCAACTGGCCATCCAGCTGAGCCAGCAGAGCAAGCCGAGCTTGGAAAGCTGCAATGTGCTGATGAGTGCCTTGGGGGTCCTGGGGACCATGGTGGGATATGGAGTGAACCTGGTGAGAAAATGTGATTTTTAACAAGGTGAAAACACAGCAAGAAAATTGGGGATAGAATGGGATAACATCAAGAAACATACTGGTGATACATGGATAACACATGATTTTTAACTCGGGCTTTAATCAACCAAACCATGGGATAACATCAAGAAACATGGTGATATCATGATACAATATGATACGATGATAATCAAACCCTATGGGCCCATTGGGATGGAATTTTCCCATACTATAGCAGCCCCCCATCGCACTACGTACCATTCTGCATTTTCTTGTAATTGTTGGAGGTTACTACAAAGCTAAGGATGTTTTGTTTTGTGTGTTGGGCAGGATGCTACTATCAGTCATAGTTTGTTGGTTTCAGGCCCATCTTCATTAATGACACCGCCATAGCATACCATAGCAGCCTCATTTTGGATGATAAACCAGCAATGTCAGGATCATCCCCATTGGTTTACCATGGGGATTTCGCATCCCCAATCGATGAAGCAAATCTTGGCAAGCTATCGACAAACTTGCCGCTTACCGCTGCTTACCTCATAACCAACTAAACTGCATTAAAACATATTAAAACCACTGTAAATCACATATATCACGATCCCATTAGATTCCCATTAGATTCCCATTAGATTCCCATTAAACTCTCAAACTTTCAAACTAAAAAGTTGCCACGTCCCCATCCAAAACCTGAGGCTGTCTGTCCCAGCGCGGCCGTTGGTCCGCCAGTCTCCAGCTGCTGTCGTCCCTGGGCCGCCGCCGCCTCGCCGCTTTCGCTGCCGTCGCCGTCGACGTGACGTCAGCAGCGCTGGGCGCGGCGGGAAGGGCGAAGCAGTGGAGGGCGGTGCTGGAGATGTGGCTGGGCGGAGTGGAGATTCTATGGATGGTTTATGGTGGATGATGGTGGATGGTTATTTGTATGGATGTTATCATTAACATTATTATTATTACCAGCATTATTGTTATGGCTGATGGTTTATGGATGTGCTGGCAGGGGCAAAACCGGAGGATTCCTTGCTATGTGGATATTTTGAATCATGTTGTAGCAATGCTGGGTAGGGCTCTTCCACATCAGTGAGAACTTTGGAACAATCAGTTAGACGCCAGGTACGCGGTATGCACGCGGTAACATTGTCATCGAAGGATTATCATGTTATTTTTGGAGTGGGGAACAGGGTGAGGCTTTTGGATGATGCTTGGAGGTAGGGGTAACATGACTCTTAACTTTCTCTTGGTTCCAACACGCTTAGCATATGCTGATGGATGTGCTCATTATTAACAAAATTGGAAATCATTATATTGTAACCGTAAAAACGGCATCCATATTACAGATGGAAAGAACACATTATTCACCAATCATCACCAAGCATACTGATGGAAAAACCATTATTAACCAATGATCATGAACCATTAAAACCATTACTAACCATTACTAACCATTACTAACATTACTAAATGAACCATTCAAACACATGGAAAAACCCATTGCTCCAACCATTCCTAGCCATCGCCCATCAGATCATCAGGTCCTTCACCAACCTTCGATGCCTCACCACGGGTCTCAGCAGCGGCCCCTGGCGTTCCACCCTGGCGCTGCTGCGTTCGTCGCTGCAAGGGGCGCTGGAGCTGGACGCTGCCGCGGTCAGTACCGTGGTTCAACCGGAAGGGGGTGGAGTTCATCAGGCGCTGGGATGGATTTTTGAATGGATGTGTCATTATATGTTTTTTTGATGTTTTGGTTTTTTCATGGACGTGTTGAGGGTGTTGTAGGTTTAGGGTTATTTTTTTGGGATTTTATTGGGATTTGGTTGGATTTTTGGGATTTCCATTCGGAAATTTGGCCACTTTGTGGCTGGGAATTTGAGATTCTTCCTGGGATTTTATGGGGTATAGTTGGGGATCTAATGTATGATGGAAATAAGGGTGTCCAAAGCCCTTGCGAACCCCGAAATCATCACGAAGTTATTGGGCATTGTGGAGTTTCCATGAGAAAATCATGGAGGGTCGTCAAGATTTGTCAAGAGTACCCCAAGTTGATGAATTCCCCAAGTTGTTAAATAGGAAAGCGTGGGAACCGGGATGACAGCGGGAAAAAGCGCTGCAAACACATATGTTTGGAAAACATGGAAAACCTTGGGAAAAGAAGCATCAACCTATATGGAACAATGCTATGGGCGGATAACGTTGGGATTTTCGCCAAGAGAAAACATCTGCAACACCTACGATTTGATATGTTTTAACATGATTTAACCATGAACTTAAACCACCAAAGATGGATGTTGATGGATTTTGCCAAGTAAACCGCTGGCAAAAGGCCCTACTATTTGCAGGGTTTCCACCTTTCTACATGCGGAGCTGACCGATCATGTTTTTGACTATGTGTAGCGGTGTAGCATAGCTACAGAGAATGTTGAAAACATGTTTGAACCATTTTATAGTCAGCATCCACGAACCAAACTGTTTTTTTTTCTCATTTCTGGTGCCTAACCTCGCTACGATTGGAACAAGCTGTTCCCCCCCAGTGAAATCTTCCAACTGACTTCCACTGGTGTTGACAGAAATCAGCCGGTCAGCTTCAAACAGGACATCTGAATCTCTAAAGCCGTTGTTCCTATAGATGGTATATCACATTATACTACATCATTATGCTTATACTACCCTCTAGTTATTTAACAGTTAGCCATGGTATAGATGGCCCATAGAAATAGATGCTTTACCGTTCTTAATAGCATGGTGGATCTTTCCATGGCTGGCCCTGTTCCTCCATCAGGTGCCGCAATGCAGAACTGCCCCACGGCCCAGTGGCGAATGGCCTCAGAGCTCTTCCAAGCGGCAGTTGAGCGACGGGTGCCTCCTTCAATCTCCTTCATCCAAAGATGGATGGGGATATGGCTGGCAGTTGCCCCTTATAAATTGGCATTTCAAATGGGATAATCATTAGTTTCACTGGTTAGTGTGCGGTTATAATAGGATATATAATAGGATAGTTATGTATATTTAGTGATGGGTAAATATAAGAACCCTAACATTTCAAAGTGGTGAATTATGATAATTCAGCCAGAATGGAACATTGGATTTATCGAGCCATGGGGCTTGAACCAACCATGTGGGAAATGATGCGGGCATAGTGGGAATATAAATTGATGAACAAATAGACCAAATATCGCAGCGCGCAAAATTTGGAGTGTAAACCCAACAACAAAACTCACATATAAAACTAGAAAAACCTCAAACATTGTAGGGTTTAACATTGTTTCAATCCCATCCATTTTCCGGAATCCGGAATATGATGTCAATCCGATTGAACTAATGTGACCACCCAATAACCCAACAGGACCATCCAATGTTCATGTCATCCTTTGATGGTTTTGACCAACCGTTCACCATACCATGGAAGCAAACTGTGCTTAATTTTATTTTGACACACCCATGAATCTTCTATTTTTTTCAGGAGATGTTCCCATTCATGAATGGTTGTGGAGCAAAATCCTTGTTGCAAAATCACAAGTCTCCATTCCATTGGCCAAGCTCAGCACAGCAGTATCCAAGATTCTCCATTTATTATCCTGATATATATATATATATGCGATATTATCATTTTTGTTGGTCATAGCATTTCCTACCGGATGGGTAGGGGTTGCCATACACCTTGATGTTCAGCCCTTCAGGGATTGGATAGCTTCACCTGTTACAGGTGGATGATTGTCCCATGGTAAAACCCACACAACACAAAAATCAAGCAACGACCAAGCTCACCGCCATAAATCATCACCAATCATCATCAGTTCCTATAAATTCTATCAATTCCTATCCCCAAAAAAACAATCATGGATAGATATATATATATATATATCCATAGATGTATCCATAGATATATTCATAGATATTTTCCATATATTTTTTCCATAGATATATCCAAAATATCCATAGATATCCTCATAAAACATCCCCCAAGGGGTTGCTGTGGCAGGTTCCGCTGGATCTCCGCGCCTCCTCCGACGCGGCGCGCGCGACGCGCGTGGCCGCGCCCGCGGCGCTGGAGCCAATGGCGGCGGAGCCGCTGCGGAGCTTGGAACGACTGGCGCGGGGCTGAGGGCCAAACGGCTGGGAGGTGCCCGAATGCCCGGGGAAGTCATGGGAAAAATGGGAAAAAACCTGTGAAAAACCAATGAAAAGTGACTGTTCACAGTGATGTTATTGTTGATTTTTGGTTGGGTGATGTTAGTTTTTTGGGGGTTTGTGTGTTTTGGGGTTGATTTTCAAGTTGGATGTTGAGTTGGGATGGTGTATGCAGGGATTTTTTTGCCTTTGAAAGGTAGAGATTGGAGAAATTACACGGGTAAGGACAGAAGCAGGGCTTACATCACCCATACCCTCTGGTAAACAAACATAGCTATTGAAAATAGCCATTTATAGTGGATTTACCCATTGAAAATGGTGATTTTCCATAGTTATGGGACAGTTTACCAAAGGGTAAATTCAATAACTCAGATTTTCAAAGCTGTTGCTTCTCTTCCCCTTGAGGCTGCCATCACCCGCAACCTTGGCGAAGATGGGTCGACCATGGCAGAGTTGGAAGGAGATCTCGGCATCGCACGAAGGCTGCGGTGAACCCCCGCGACACGGCTTGGACCAAAATGACGCGGCCTGGACCAAAAAGGCGGTGCACGGCGTGGATTTGTCGGCAGCTTGGATGTCGCAACTGCGAAGTGTCCAAGGTCACACGGTTTCCAATTCTTTACCCTTTGGCGATAACAGTATGAAACATTGGAGGGATTGTTTTCTTTTTTTGTTTTGGGAAAGGTGATGAGCCTCTCCCCCAAGTTCTTGGTTCCAAACTGATCCACATCCAGAAGCCCATCCATTGACCTGCTCAGAAACCACGGGAGAGGCCAGGTAGAAACCTGCCGATTTAAGCCACTTCCCACATATCCAACTGAAGTTGTTGACTTTAAGCAGGCGATCAGCTAACAGTAACTAACAAAAATAAAAGATACACAGGAACCCCATGGAGTCCCATACAAACTAATCCTCTCATCGGCATCAGTACGTCGTACTGATCAGTAGATAGGCTTCAGTATCTTCAGCGGAATGCAACCATCAAAAATTGTCGATTTAATAATTGTAGTGCTAAACTGTACTAAACTTGCCAATGTAACTTAACCTAAGATAACCTAAGTATATGCTCCACGTATTATTTACGTTCATTTTGGCAGTTTTGGGGATATAATTATCCATGTTAGTGAATATTCACAATATCCCATACATGGAACATTTGGGTACCCTCCAGCAATCCCTAGAAATCTCTATCATATCCCCTATAAATACCTATGAATCTTCGGTAAGTTGTGGGTCCATGATACCATCCCAGGGTCCCACGACGAATTCGAAATCGCCGCAGGCCCAGCCCCCGGCGAGATGCAGTTGACGCGCTTTCTGAGCGGCGAGCAGTGTCTCCACTATTCGAAGACCGTGGGCAGTACCCTGGCCGTCGGATCACATGAAACAAGTGGGGCTTAGAACGGTTAGAAGCCTGTGATGAATGGGGCCTCTGGGGAGTAAAAAAAAACTCTGAGATTCATCATTTTCCCGGGAGGATATTGCCAAAAACAGACACCGAAGAGTCATCATTGGCGTCAGCCGAGCACGGCACGCCATTGGTGAGATTTGGTGAGAAGATCTGATGTTTCCCTTTGACCCAGCAAACGGAGGCGAAAGACAACCACCTCACTGAGTGAATTACCCATGGTAATTGCGGATCATTTTCTCAATACCCCTCGGCAGGGGTATGCCCCTGATCTGCCCCAAACTACCAGTGAATCACTTCGCTTTTTGTGCTTCGATAGCAATCCCTTCCGATATCGATCACAGCGCTACCGAGACTTGAGGTGCTTCCAGCGATACCTGGATGATGGGCGCACTCTTTCAGAGTGCCTCGGCGGCCCCGATGGATCGCGATGAAGTGATCCAGAAACTTCAATGGGAATTGCTTCAGAAAGCCGGATGTCATTTCTTCAACTGTTTAAACTACTTCAAACTGAAGTACTGTCAACATCTGTCAACTACACTTGTGTTTTTAACTTACAGCAATGTACAGCATAGAAAAGGCAACGATTTGTCCGTGAAATCTCTGGCCGCCCAGGCTTCGGTATGATGAAAACGGGTGGCCTCAGTGAAGGAGCCTTCCAGGAGTGGATAGCCGATGGGTTGGTCGGGTTCCGGGGTGGAAAAAAGCATGGAAAAACATATCATGTGGGGAAAAATCATTCCAATGCGTATCAAGTATCATGGTTTGAATGTTTAAGTTCGGACATGTTCGGAATTGAGATTGGACATCTTCCACATCCATGTTTTATCTCGTTTTTTTGTTGGAGTTGTTGATGGATGATGATGGATGTTTAAGGTTGCAACTCCATTTGCTTTCCGCGAATCACACTGTTTCAATCATGGTACCCTGTCGGCTCCTTTGGCATTGTTGGCCACATATCCACCAATTATACCAATTCGCAATGGTTGGCGCAACCCAGGGAAGTGCGGCATCTCCCACTTATTTTTTCACTTGTGCCCTCTAATTATTGATCCTCGCATCCTCTTTTGGGGAACATTCGGTTTGATAGGCCTCCACTTGACCTGATTTGTGCTGGTAATCAAACATGGCCATGGAAACTGCCCGCTTTGGTCCGGTGAATTCCTAGTCAAATCACGAGAAAATGGTGTTATCTTCATAAATCAGCTGTAAATCCTATGAAATCATCATCTTTGTTTCTTGCTTTGATGATGTTTGATGATTTCCAGCTGATTTCATGAACATCAGCTGTAAATCTCCCATGGAAATCATTGGAAACGAAGAAACGCCACCGGGCCACGCCGGGCCACGGAGGACGTGGTGCACTGCCTGGTCTTCGCCACTTGTTTGATGCAGCGCATCCTGGTGGAGCGTTGGCACCAGGATCTGCGGGACCACTTCGAGCGACGCAAGGCGCGCGCCGTGGTAGGGGATGACGGGCCTGGCCCGGTGGTGGCTGGAAAGGGTGGCGAAACGACATGGTGAAAGCATGGAGTGAAAGCATGTCTTGGTATAGTTTTCAGATGGTTTTCATTTTTCATATGGTTTTAGATGTTCTTTTTGCAGGGTTCTATGAATGTTTATATTGCTTTTGTATTTTTGTAATTTAATGGTTTTTGAAGTGAATTATGGGTCTTTTTCATTGGGATGTCAAGGGATGTAACGGGCTAAAATGTATTAAATATGTACGAGGATTCAATGGGAACAGAATTTTACCCTCTGCTAAGCATTACAAATTTCAAAGGAAAACCACCATTTGTTAAGAGGTAAATCATCTACTTTCAGGTGCACTTTCCATAGCTATGTTAGGCCTGGTGTTGTTTATCAGTTTATATAAACTGCAGGGCCAGTTTTATGGTGTCCACAAATCAACCACCTTATACTGTATACCCTTTGATAAACTAAGCTAACTAAGCTATGGACTAGTCCATTTATAGATGATTTACATACTTAAGATGTTGTTTTATACAACTAGTTATGTTAGTTTTCAGATGTTTTCAGATCGTATGGAATATAATATGAGATGTACAAACAACACGATGACATTTAATGTTTCCAGATCATTTGGGCAAATTATGTCACCACTGAACTCAATTATAACTGATGTTTGTAATGTTATAATAATGGGGTAATTGTCCCAAATTGGATGATTTCAGTTTTATGAACTCTTTTCATTTTCCCAAGTGAATGCGGAAACACAATTGAGGATAAACTACATCATTTTGGCAGGTTATATCTAACACATTCTAAGATCATTAGAGATGCCTTGGGTTCCTTTCACTTAAGGGAACTGCTAAAGTACATCGGTAAACGCCAAAAACCCGGCCATCAAGTGGTTGCGTCCATTCTTGTTGCCTAAAAACCCTTGTGAATGGTCACTCTTGTTGGTTGATAACATCCCTATTAAATCCTATTGAGTTCATTGTTGACAACTTACCTAGTAAAACAAGAGAGTGTAACGCTGTGGGGGCCCCATTTTTACAGTTCGTTCTGATTTTGTTTTGAATAATTATGCTTATTTATACCCATTCCCTTGTTATTGTTCTATTTTCTATGTTGTTGATATTACTTTATTTCTGTTGCATTGTTACCTATTGTATATTTAATTTGGTTCTGGAAAGTTCATATAGAATGGCACAGCAGGGGTGGAGATAAAGTTCATACCATTGGTTCTACACTGTTTCTTCCTTTGCAAAAGCGGATTATAGATAGACCCATGGCAAGTAGCAAATTCAATATTTGTATCATCATATGAACATGTAACATACGTACATACATATATACATATATATATATACACAGTTGTGTTACAATACCTAAGAACGATTAATTAATGAGATAAGCTAAGTAAATCTCATAGTCTATGTTAAGCAAGTGCCCGTTTTGACATCACCATATAAACTTCCCCATGCAACTGTATTACTATTGCGTAGATTTGGTGGTTTCTACCAGAAAAAATAACAACTAAAGTACAGCCTTGCAACATCAGGCAGTTGTAGTTGCAAAGGGTATATCAACAGGACTCAAGTTTTGTCCCAAGATTAACAACAGTTTGAACACAGATTTCAATGGCTCTACCAAGTCTTGCAATGAAGTGCAAGCTTCATCACAAACTAATAGTGGTCATGAAAAAGGCATGGAGCAAATCACTCTTCTCACATATGTACAGTGCAAACTCTTTTTTTCAACCTTTTAGTGCACATGGAATATATAAGAATACTTAGAACCAATCTTGGAACAACATGGCAAAACAAAAACTTACATGCACGTAGCAGTGATCACCTTCAACCCATCACATGCATGGCCATTCCAGAAACTTCGAGTACTATGTAAAAAATAATGACAATCAAATTTGTATACATGTGTATTCTTGTCTGGGGTCTATCTGAACTTGTACATGTTTATTTGGTAAGCCAACAATGCAGGCAAACAGGAAACTTTGCAAATAGTGTCACATGCAAGCTGCAATAGCTACGCAAGCAGATAGCATACATATACACGACGCATCATCATGTTCTGGAAATTGCACATGACATGTTCTTCATTGGCAATACCTTTGAAGAGTGGTGAGTTGTATCAGGCTCTTTTCATGCTTCGCTATGAATTCTTTTTTCAACAAATAGGGAAAGACTATGGACATAATATGGCAAAACTCCTGCAATCAAAATCTGTGAGTGAATGTGCTGATCAAGCTATTTGGTTAGCCTAAAGGGAGTTTGCCTGTGACCAGCGCAATCAAACAAGAAAATATCTTCAAGAGTATGCCTACATATAGCCATGGCAAGGAGCAGACCTACCATAAAAGTGAAACGGGATGAAAGCAAAAACTCATGCTAACACCTTCCCAACGATAAACTTGATTGTTCCGTATTTTTCCAAAGATATTATCAGATTAAGATACTGCAGCAAGGGTGATCCTAGATACCTCTTGAGTTACCATGTATATAACCAATAGAAGTAATCATTGCACCATGTCATACGTTGCCAGCCTGTGTTTGTAGCTTTGAAAAGTTATGGCACTATTGTTGGCTCTATTTGAAATCGAGCTTGACTTGACCCATGTGTCGAGTTGGACTACACAAAGACCTCAATGAGAGTATAATATTGGCCACGCAAATCACGAAAAGTCTATGATCTGATCTAGCTGCTTGTTCCCCTGGGGTGACTGTAGATGGTCATTCAAGATTACTCATTCAAATGAATATTGAGCTTCCTGGCCATGACACATGTAACATTTTTTTGAAACAAATGATTTTCTTCACATTTATATTTACATATATATAATAATGCATATTATTATAATATATATAGTTATATATGTGAAACCGTTCTACTTTCCATCCTGTTTTCTTCTTGTGCCACTTTTGAATATCATGCACTGGCCCTTGTAGTGGCACAGCATGGCCCTAAGACATAGTGTTTTTCTTTGTTCAACTTAGTATGTCCTTGCCATGCAGTGAAGAAAATCCAAAACTTTAAAAATATAAAAAGATATCATCCAAGATCAGATGGGTTATAGTTAGCATTTGTCTAAGCACAATGAGTTTGCAAAATTGTTAATTTACATTCTTTACTGATGACGCTGTTTTTAGAATAAACAAATTGAGTGGTATTGCTCATACTACGCAGTGTCAACACCGTTGGGCTAAGTCCTAGATCCCGTCCGGCCGGTACCGTGGTGCCGGTCCGGATTGAAAGCTGGTTTCCTGGGGTCTGAAGGGGGGGGGGCAAAAAAAGAATTGCCCCCCCCCCCCCGCTCAGCAACTCAGGGAGGTTTAGAAGGTAAAAACCAGAGCTTTAGGGTTTCCAGAGGTTTCGAGGAGGAAGCAAGAAAGGATAAAAACATAAACAGAAAGCTTAGTAGCAATATATTAGTCCAAAACTTGACGCATATCTGTTCATTCCTCTTTCCAGCTCTCCACAACGTCCCTTTCTGAAATATAAACAATATTTAAAATAACATTGTTCTATCGTTTGATGGTGTGAGATATTGCAAGACGTGCAAAACAATCCACACAAATGTATACAAATGTCTCATCCTACGTTTTGCTGTATTTCCAGAAACGTGGTAAAATGAGGTCCCCCTGGTGTGACTTTCGAGTTGATTTTGGTTGATTTAGATCCCATGATCCACGCCATCTTCCGCATCCTCCAGGCCTTGCTCGATTTTCGAGCTCAGTGGTACGCAGAAAAGCTGGCCACCAGCCGACACCCGGCTACCGTGTGAGAATTCTCAGTGTGGATGGGTCAGTTCATGGTGGGATCTTTACATATATATATATATACATATATGTATATGTATATATATATATTATATTATCTCTCTCTCTCTCTATCAATCTATCTATCTAATCTAATCTAATCTTATCTTATCTTATCTTATCTAATATTATCTAATCTTATCTAATCTTATCTAGTCTTATCTAGTCTTATCTAATCTTATCTAATCTTATCTAATCTTATCTAATCTTATCTAATCTTATCTAATCTTATCTAATCTTATCTACCTATCTATCTATCTATCCATCCATCTATCTATTTATCAATCTATCTATCTATCTAAGAAGTCATGCTCAAGTGTCAACTAGTTGGATCATCCATTTGGCTATGAATCTCAATCGTCCCATCAAGGGCCAAGTACGATTCAGAACTTTCATCCCCTAATTGTTTGATCGTTGTTTCAACGAAAAGACAGTGAAAAAGAAAGGAAATTAAACGTAGTCTTAGATAGACTATGGACATGTCAATCATTGTCAATCCAAATCCTCATCAACATGGGACTCTTTTCCAGTTATCCCCGCATTTCGCAGTTTTTTGTTCATCCCCCAACCTCCAAAACACAAAGTCTCTGCGCCCTGGTCGCCCAAGGACAGGTGCAGCTGTCGATGTGGGACACCAAGCGGCAGGCGGGCAGCCGGCAACTTTTGAACAGAGGAACTGAAGTGGTGTGGGATTTGATATCGATCATTACTGGTTGGTGGTTTGGAACATTTTTCATGGGAGAATATATCTGGTTGGTGGTTTGGAACCATGGAATTCTATGACTCTCCATATATTGGGAATGTCATCATCCCAACTGATTAATATTTTTCAGAGGGGTAGGTATACCACCAACCAGATTAGATAATGGTTCTAAGATTATGTAAATTTGATATAGATCTAGAATGATCTAGATTTGATATAGATCTTAAGATAATGCTAGTAAAGCAATCATCTTAACCACCCATATGGATTATTGGTTATATAACATCACCAATTATGGTGATTTTAGGGATGGTTTACTATTGCTTGAACCACAGCACCATATTTCAATGTATAAAAGTCATGAAATAGTGTTGCTAGTCAATGATGTATTTTTGAGAACTTGTGCCTACATATTTTGCTGTTCGGAAGTGTCGAATTATTGATTTCAAGTTGTAAATACCTATGTATACCCTGGGGTGGATTGCCATTCATTCAAGGATAGGCATCATTAAAAAACCATTGAACGAGTTCACTGAAGGGGGTGCATGTCCCTTCGCCGTGCTTGAAATGCAGAAAAAACATGAAAAAAACATGTAGCACCCATTGGATTCCACAAGCCTTTTTTGGCGCTTTAGCTTACACACACTGATGTGCGGTGGGGGGACTGCCCAAAGCCAGGGATTTCAAGGGTGTGAATGCAGCACGTTTGAGGGTTAAACCATGTTTCACCAAGGTTTCTCGTTGGCTAAATCCTCCTTGTTGCTGATGATGATGATGATGATGATGATGATGATGATGATATTGCCTTTTATTGTTACTGCTGTAAAATCACCAGAATCGATTTTAAATTGTTTGTTGATTTAAGCTATCGTTGTTATTAAAACATTCTCATGTTGCTGGTTGACGATATGCCTCGTCCCATCTTGATGTGTGAAATCATGTTTTCCACAAAAAGCCTTCAAAAAAACTGTGGGGTTCTGTATTGGAATGCATAGCATGAACATCTGGACTAACCCAACCCATACAAACCCATGGTGTCATTGTCACTCCCAGTCTACTCCCGGCTTCGTTGCTCGCCACAGGTCTTACTGAACAAACTCTCGCGCGTCACGCAGCAGCTGAACACCTTGCGTTCCATTTGGGATGGGCAACGGCCAGCGTTTACCGAGAAGGAGGAGACGACCAAAAAAAGGGGGTGACCATGGCAGCCATTGAATCTCATGCACCCCAAGCGCACCACCAAGTATGGCTCAAAATTGTAGGACCCCAGAGACCCAGATGTTTCTATGAGTTTCTATGTTTGGACGGCTTCGTTTAATTGATCGATGCTACTGGATTATCTTGAGGCAACGGAACAAAACGTGATATCATCCAACATCCCACTAAAGTTTCCAACAGCATATCTCAGTAAGGATAGTAACGTTCGCCACGGTGCGGATGATCGATTCAACATGTTTCAGGGTGCCACCTGCCCAATGACCCACCAGGAGGAGGAGAATCATCATAAAGCGCGGGTGGAACACATTTGTTTGAAAGGTGGTGTCAATGAGCTCCTAGCCACTTGGATCAACCAAGGCAGCGTTCAACCTGATGCTATGAGCTTCTGAAGAACACTTCGATTTGATGTCGAGGGATCGCAAGGGATGCAACCAAGTAATTACTGTATCATGTAGTTACCCCCCCTTCAACCTTCACCAATTTCTGACCTTCCATCCTCCCAATAATTCCCAATACTATCTTGAGTTGGATCTAAGACACTGAACATCCGCAGTTTGTTGCAGTGTCCCAGGCATTTCACTCCGAGGGAGGCCTGATGTCACTATAACTCTTTCCAGAGCATCTCATGTGGCCACAGCTTTTTTTGTTCTATTTTTTTTGGCCCAAAGATGGCTTTACCCAACAACCATTAAACAAAAACATACAAAAAAAAAACAACGTTATTTGAATGATAACCTCAATTATATGTGAATGATAACCTCCGTCAGATGATCTCAATACAGGTATATAGGTGATAAGTTATATAGTTATATAGTGATAAAACAACAACATCAACAACTAATGGCCTCAAAATTTGGGCCCTTGGCAGGGCATTCCTACCGAGGTCACGGGACTTCTGAAGGAATTCACCCGGAACTGCGGCGAACAGCTGGTGCAGGAGCTTCAGACGCAGAAAAGGCGCCGGACGTTTCGAACGCCGCCGAGAGAACGGGGAGAACAGGGTGACTTCACCGTGGATTTAATGGTGATTTAATTGTGATTCAGTGGGATTTGTTATGCAACAAAAATGATGATGGAATGGAATTTACAGTTGATTTACCAGTACCCGCATGAGGCGGGGCGGAAATTGCCTTAGGGTTGTACTATAAGACCTTTCTCATCTATAGAACTTGCATGCGCCGTGCACCAGCCAGGCCCGTGCGTGCGTACTTTGTGCGAAGCTGTTGCACTGTTGTTGTCCAAGAACATGACCTGCGCGCGATCACGTAGCAATGCAACCCCAAGCGGGCCTTTTCTTCAGATTTCACACTCCGCTCTTCACACCCCGCACTTCACTTCACACTTGGCACTTCACACTCCACACTTCATCTCATCTCAAATCATGTGAGCTCTTCTCGCCTCATCCCATCTCTTCTCACATGTCATTTAGGTAAGTTCTTCTCAACTGTTTTCATCTCATCCGAGCACTGATCAACCTGTCTCATCTCCTCGAAATTTCGACTCAACTCATCTCAGCTGTTCCCCACACGAGACAGCTCTCACTGTCAGAGAGAACTCTCTTGCACAAACAAATCGTTGGGCGCAGAAAGCTTTTGCACACAGAAACTTGGGACACAGATGCATCTACACAGAAAAGCCTTTACAGAATACTTTGTACTACAAAGCTTGCACAAAGTACTTCCCAGTACTACTTTGTACTACAAAGCTTGCACACAGCTTGCACAAAGCACTTCCCAGTACTACTTTGTACTACAAAGCTTGTACACAGCTTGCACAGAGCACTTCCCAGTACTACTTTGTACTGCAAAGTTTGCACAAAGCACTTCCCAGTACTACTTTGTACTACAAATCTTGCACAAAGCACTTCGCAGTATTACTTTATACACAAAGCACTTCCCAGTACTACTTTGTACTACAAAGCTTGCCCAAATTTGCACAAAGCACTTCCCAGTACTATTGTGTATTACAATGGTCGCACCAGTACTACTTTGTACTACCAAGCTTGCACAAAGCACTTCCCAGTACTACTTTGTACTACAAAGCTTGCACAAAGCTTGCACAAAGTTCTAGCCATTACAATGCGATATCGAGACATTGAATTGCAAAACACAATAGAACTACGCGCAATGGCGTCGGCGCCAAAGCAAAACAAACATGATTTGGAAGCACTTTTAAGATGAATTTTAAAGTGAAAATCTCCTGAGTCAAAATTGAAAAAATCTGCTGACACATCACTATCGCAGCCTTGATGCAGCCACTCCAATACGATTTACAAGGTCCAGCTGCAAGGGACAATAATCTTTTGCGAATAATCCAAATATATTCAAAGCCCAGTTTTTGATGGGATGTAAGCACCACCTTTTATACCCTAAAATGCCTTCTACCAATCTTTACCATGTGCCTAAGAATTAAGATACGTATGTTTTCCACATGTTTTCCACCTATTTTCCATGGTGTTTTCTGGGGTTTCCATATCCCCGAAGACAGGGACGCTCCAAACCTGGCATCTCCAGGCTCCAGGCTCAGGGCATCATCGATAAGGCGGTGGTGGAGTACTTGCATCGACGGTGACCCGCGCTTTCCCTAGGGAAACTAAGGGTACTCCATTGGGAAATTCCATGTTTCGTGTTCATCCCCTACATCATGGCCCTGGGGGAAAAAAAACATGGTTTCCCTTTTTTTGGAATGTCTAAATGTGAAATGTGTACCCCATAATATCCACCTTTTCTTGGAGAATTGGAGAACTTTTCCCCCCAGCCGATGGATCGACACCAGGTACCTTCGTAAGTTGAAGATGATCACCTCCACAGATGAAGCGGCGTCCAAGCAGAGGCTCATGCAGGACGGTTGTATGATGTTGGTGAATGTTCACAATCATGGGGCCAACCATGGGGGTATTCCCTGACCATTATGAGTCAGTTTACCAATAGATTTCCTACAAAGTTATTTAAATTGAGGATGAACATCCAGCAGAGAAGTGCAGGGATTTCTTCACAACTAAAAAATGCCTCGAAACCAGACTATAACCTGGGTTTGATTGGTAATCGTAAAGCCCTCCATCTCGTATGATATTTCTTCGATTTTTTTGTACTTTCACTCTCCTCTAAACTAAGTTAGATGTGGAAAAACCAGGGTTTGTAGATCCTTTTCCTAATGTGGTTTTCCCATGGGTATTCCACACGTTTTTGTACGTTTACCCCTGGGCCCAAGTTATATTTTTGGGCTGATAATATCCAAAGAGTCGATGTCAAATTTGGGAAAACATTTGACACTAATGGAATTGGTTTAAGGGAAAACACATTGGAAACCCACCATATTCAACATGGGAAGGGAAGACTATGGTTTCCCATAGCTTCTCCCTTAAAGACTTTAAACCGACCCAGGGAAACGATTGTGGCGGCCTTCCAGTGCCCAATGTGTAGTTCCAAAGGTTGTCTTTACTAGCAGTTTCCATTAACTTGAACAAAGTCACCAATCGACACTTGTATTACCTTGAATCAGCAATTTGGCAATTTTTATAGTATCTCTGATTGGATCCTTTGTCAGAGGAATCTGGATCGTGTGGCCATCAACTGTTTTCTAGGGTTTTTGGCAGGAAAATCCCTTAAAAGCACATCAAACATAGGGATGGCTGTCAGCGACCCCAATCAACTTTGCCCCAAGTGAGGCCCCTTGAACAAATATGATCTGCTTGATTACATTGATTACTATAAATCAAGTAAGAGAAGGGCCCCAAGATGGTATCATCATCCTAATATCCTAAATCTTCCCAAAAATACTATGGAGATGAATTTATTTCCTATAGTCTATAGTCATTGGATTGGTTGAAAGGAACATTTACAGGAAAACGGAATCTTTCATCGGAACATCCATGGATATATTGATAAAATTTGATATTTCCATTGTTTTGTTCCTATAGACCCAAAGAAGAGCCCCGATTTCGTCCTTTTCGTCCTCAAGAGTCTCCCCAGGAGTCGCAAGAGGAGGTGGAGACGCTCAAGGAGATCCACAAGTCATGGTTTCATGTGGGAAACCCGCTGCCACAAAGAACTCCCACTGGGGATGATTCATACATATTCATACCACATACACACGCATAACAGATATATATATATATATATATATATGTATACAAACATACATACATATTCCATATCTCACCCGTTATTTATTCAAACAAAAGTGATTTTGGTGATGGTCAACGGCACTGAGTTCACCACATTGACTGGATGATTTGGGTGTCCTCCATGGCTTGGAAACGGAAAAGCAATCGTGGGGGGGGCACCTTGAACGAATCACATACCATATACTCTCCGGTAAACAAACAGTTTGCTATTGAACATGGCCATTTATAGTTGATACACACACACACTAAAAATGATGATTTTCCATAGTTATGTTAGTTTACCAGAGGGTAGTTACGGTCTTGTTTCCCACATTTGTTGGTTTATAACTGCCATATTTCATGGTGATAGAAGTGGAGTGACATAGTCAGCAAAGTGTGGGGAATATCGTGGGACTATGTCAAAGGCATATGTCAAATGGGGAATGTACATGTGCTATGGTCAAGCTAGGATGGGCATCATTCTACCCATTGTATTTTTTATTTTCCCATAAAAGGAGATGGTCATCCCACATTCTATGGCCAAATGCAGCCAATACCCTTGGATCGGTGCACCCAAGAATGGCCGTGAGAAGGGATGAACCAGAAACAATGGGAGATAAACCGCCAAAGATTGGGATTTCGCCAGCGAAAATACGTGTTTCATCAACAAGATAAAATGAATCTGGTCACGGAATCATAGTTATGTTGCTGTATATAATACCCTCTGGTAAACAAACATAGACCCTGAAAATCCTAGAGGAAACTAATCTTCCAACCCCTATCTACCAGGGTCTATGTTAATTTACTGCAGGGTATAGTTTCCAACATGTTCCACCAGACTCGATCGTCCAACCACTGTGATCACTATAGCTCTCGGTGTAGGGCATGGTGGTTGCTGGTGACATCTGGTGACCGAGGAACTCGCACGCCAACGCCATTGTGGCGGCCATAGATTTTCACCCTGCAGTTTTAAAAAATGTAAATAGGTCAGCGTTACATCCCCCCCATATACACTATAGTTGGATAGATAGACAAGATAAGATGAGATTACTGTAGATTGGATTAGATAAGCTAGCTAGACTCTCGATAAGTGCCATTTCAATCCATTTCACGTCTCCCAAGTCCCTTACCCTTTGGTAAACTAACAGATGGAAAATCACCATGTCTAACAGGTAAATCAAAAAAAATGGTCATTTTTCAATAGCCATGTAACAAATTACCAGGGGGTAATCACCATTCATTCACTATTGACCATTGATAACCACCATTCATCACCATTAGCCAGCATTAAACATAGATATTCCATGATATTCCCATATAAACCACTATCAATCACCATTAACCACTATAAAATCACCATAAAATCACCATTAACCACCATTCATGTCCCCTCCACTGTCCCCTCCTTTTGTCTTCCCTAGGACTCCGAGCTGGACGGCGATGCGCCCGGGGAGACCGAGCCGACGGTTTCCGCGGCCTCGTCGTCGGCGCTGCGGCAGCGGAAGGCCAGCGAGAAAGCCATGGGAGTCACCAGCAGCTTCCACTCCGAGGCGGGGTGTCTGGATGTGGTTGCTATGATAGCTATGGCCCATATGGCTGATAGTTCTCCCAATTGCAAATAAAGATGATAAGTTATGGAAAATTTTAGATGATCAGTTATTATGGCTATCATTCCAATATTTCGAGGATTTGAAATGCACATGGAACTGGTTGGTGGTTTGGAACATGAATTTTGTTTTCCATAATATATGGGATAATCTTTCCCATTGACTTTCATATTTTTCAAGATGGTTAAAACCACCAACCAGTTGATAAGTTATGGAAAATAGATGATTTATAATTGAGTTAATTATAACTGATACTTATGGAAAATGATAACTCCACAATGATGAGTTATGGAAAAGATGTCCAAATTGTTTGATTACATAGACTAAATATGAAGATGTTTCATTTTTTAATCCAAAGAACACAAAGTGTTTCTAAGTCTTGTGGGAATGACAGGAATATGACAATATGACTATAAGATTTTTCACTGATGTTTGTTTAACATCATACGTCGTATGTTGATTACATTTCATTAATTGGTATATTTATATATATATAATACATAGTTGTTTCTGAGGTTTCCAAATAATTACGGGTCCCATAGCTATTGGTAGATGGTGCTGGGATATTTTTGTTAACCATGTTCTGCTCCAAAACACCATCCAAACATTTCCATTCATGGGCATCATTTGGGTGTCCTTTTGTTTGTTGTGCAAAGTGGGGGGTGGCCCTTTTCTGGATAGACCCCAGTTGCAAGTTGGTTTCTAAACCCACCAAAGAATAACATATATACATCTACCACAAATCAGTTAAGATAGTTATGGGGCAACTTAGCTAAGGACTTGGATGTGCATTTCAACTATAGTATATAAGTGGTTTATACTTCATGGTTCTTCCCGAATGCGTAGCAAGGGTTCCCGTTTCACTCTGGGGGTCTGGGGGTTGAGAGTGTGTTCGCTCGACGTTGCGCAACCGTCCGCAACCGTCTGCGTGAGGGCCGTATGGCCGTGCCCATGGTAAGGTGTGCAAAAGGGGTCACTTTTGGAGGTTTCACATGTCGCATTGCTTCGTTTCGCGTGGCAGATGTGGCACTTCGTGACAGTCAGACGTGTTTCGTAACGTGTCGAAAGTCGTTTTGTGTGGCAGGCGCAATAGTTTTGCGACGTTTTCAGAAGATGCGTTGCAGTTTTCGTGGCAGGCGCAGCACTTTGGACGTGTCCATCGTCATTTTGCGTGGATTTGCGTGGCAGGCACAGCACTTTAGACGTGTCGTGTTGCGGGTTTTTTTGCGAATCGCATTGTCAGGGCTGCGTCAAGTGGTGACAAGTGACAAGGTGTAAATTCCGTGGCAGGCGTGGCATTTTGTGAGATGTGATGAAAACTGACGGAAGCCTCGCACGAAACATCGATCTTGAGGTAGCAAATTTGAGGTTCACAAGACAACTCATAGGAAAACGTCGATTCTGAAGCTACAAAGTGTGAAAATCGGAGGAAGTCTCGCACGAAATGCTCCTTTTGATGCTCCAACATGTCTCGTCTCGAGTCTCTGGTTTTCCTGTGGCCTCGCCGTGTCTATGTGGGGAAGCTGCAAAACCTCTCCTTTTCGAAGGTTTGCAGGTTGTCATGTCGTTTTGCGTGGCAGGCATGTCACTTTGTGACATTCCAATACTTTTGCATCGTTTTCAGAAGATGAGTTACAGTTTTTGTGGCAGGCGCGCTCCACACTTTACACTTGACGCTTTACGGTCCACACTCTACACTCCACACTCCCCGCTTTACACTTTACACTCCACACTTTACACTCCACACTTTACACGCCACACTTTACACTCCACACTCCCCACTCCACACTCTACACTCCACACTATACACTTTGCACTCCACACTTTACACTTTACACTCCACAATCTACACTTTACACTCCACACTTTACACTCCACACTCTACACACGACACTCCACACTCCACACTTCACACTCCACACTTTACACTTCACACTCCACACTCTACACTTTACACTTTACACTCCACACTTTACACTCTACACTCCACGCTTCACACTCCACATTTTATACTTTACACTCCACACTTTACAGTTCACAGTCCACACTCTGCACCCCACACTCTACACAAGACACTCCCCACTTTACACTTTACACTCCGCACTCTACATTTTACACTCCACGCTCTACACTCCACACTTCACACTCTACACTCCACACTCCACACTTTACACTCGACACTACACTTTACTCTCTACACTTTACACTGCACACTCTACACTCCACACTCTACACTTTACATTCGCACTCAGCACTTTACACTTTACACTCCACACTTTACACTCCACACTCTACACAGTACACTCCACACTTCACACTCCACACTTTACACTCCACACTTCGCACTCCACACTTTACACTTTACACTCCGCACAGCTACACACTTCACACTCCACACTCCCCACTCTGCACTTTACACTTTACACTTTACACGCCACACTTTACACTCCACACTCCACACTTCACACTCCACACTTTACACTTCACACTCCACACTACACTTGACACTCCACACTCTACAAGTTTCCTCGACACTTTACCCTCTACACTCCACACTTTACACTCCACACTCTACACACTACACTTTTAGACTCCACATTCTACACTCTACACTTTACACTCTACACTTTATTGTTTACCTTGCACACTCTGCACCCCACACTCTACACACGACACTCCCCACTTTACACTTTACACTCCACACTTTACACTCCTCACTCCACACTCCACACTCTACACTACACTTTGCACTCTACACTCCACACTTGGCACCCCACCCTCTTTCGCATTCCTTAGTCTACAGTGCACTGGTATGGTAACAGGGGAAAAATGTAGAGTATTCAAATAACTTGTTTTACAAAAGTGTTCTGGGTGACTGCATTCGGGTTCGTGGGCTGCATTTTGTTAACTTCTCTGACTCATGTGCAGTATAACTAGGGTATTCCACATATAATTACCCTCCAGTAAACCAATATAGCTCTGGAACATCACCATTTTTAAAAGGTAAAACATTTATAAACATCTATCAATTGGCCATTTTCCATAGTTTTTTGTATGTTTACCAGAGGGGGTTTGGTGGGAAATACCATGGTTTCAACCGTAGATGAGTTTGCCTTACTTCGGCTTATGGGTCCCACTTACTAGGTACCCCCAATATCCCCCAGGTCCCAGCTCCAGTGCCAGGCTGACAGCTACACCAAAGACGACTCGAAGAGTCCGGCTGCGGGCGGCATCTCGCGCTTCTGGGCAGATCTCTTTGGCGCGTTTCTGGATGTGACCTGGCAGGGAAGGGGCTGAACTAAGCCATGGATCCATGGGAGGTATGACATGAGTGGGATACAGGATACATGTTTGTTTTTCCTGCTTACATGCGGGCCAGAGGATATGTAACTATTAAATATGACACGAGAATTTCGAGAATTGCAGATTTTATCACAATGAAACGTAGGCACGCTAGTGGAGAGAGTCTGATCATGGGAACTGCTGGGGACGGGCCAAAATGGCGAAACCCAATCCAAATCTGGGGTTTGAACAGCTGGGCGTCCGAGCCCATTGCTGTTGACGCACCACGGATTTAGACCCTCGGTTAATCAGTTCCGTGGTTAGTTGGAAAATCCACCACCTATAGTTTGATGATGTTTAAGATGATTTTCCATGATTTTCCTATTAAAATCTGAATGTTGATCGGGGATTTCCCATTGCATATATTACTGGAGGGTATATTATTCAGATTCATATTATTAGTAGATATTATTAGTGATTACTATATTAATTACCATCACATTGTGATATAATATACCTGTCATTAGTGCCTTGACTCGTGATCCGGTGGTCCCCAACGCATGTGGTGATGGCCGAGGATATGCTCTTCATTCGAGCACCTCGGCAAACCCACAGTGCCCAGTTGGGGAAGTCTAGTGTTCCCTGCTACGCCATCCAAGTTTAGGGGTGGAACGTTCTGAGCCATCATCTTTGTTTTTGGATATTATATAGGTTATTTTTGTTTTTATTTTTGGAGCGACTTGGGAAGATCCAGCCGGTCATACTTAGTGTGTCGATTAGATTGGCAGCACGCCCAAATCATGAGGGCTGCGCAGCCTTAAACATAGATCGATTTTAATGAGACACGGAACATATTGAAACCATGAAGCCATTCTCAAAATTCCCGTCGCATGCCATATTCCCTATGGTAAACTAACATATGCTATGGAAAATAACCACATAAAGGATTTATCTATTAAACATGGTGGTTTTCCATATAGCTGTGTTAGTTTACTCCGTTTTTGCCGTAACGGGTATCCCAAATGGATTTTTCAACACGCCATAAATCCTACCACCTGCAAGGAGAATGACGAGACGCTCTACGAGCATCGCAAGGGGAACTCGGCCAAGCTCTTGTTTTTGAAGGCGCTGCTGAGCCAATCGGTGCCGGCTTTGGTGCTTTGCAGCGCCTCGGTGAACATGGATTTTTTGGGAAATGTTACTGCATGTTAGTGGGGGTTGGGGGATCCCTAAATGGATGGGTTATAGTGGGCAATCCTATTAAAATGGATGAATTATATAGGGTTACCCCTATTTCATCCTATTTCAGGAAGCCTCCATGTGTTTATCATGTAAATATCAATGGGACACTTGATAAATTCTGATACAGTAAATATTTCACTGATATTTTGGAAAATGAATGGGGAAGTGTCACTAATCGATTTTTCATGGGAGTATATGTCGAAACGTCAACTATTGGATAGTATATACTCTTATTCGAAGGGGGTCATCATGCCTAGGCCCCCCCAACAGGTAGTCATGTGATATCCAAGATGTGAAACATATTATTATTATTATTGTTATTATTAATATTTTTATATGTATATATATATGTATGCAGTTGTGTCACTTAGCTACCTTTGGTTGCTACAAACCCTATGAAAATGGATTGTAATGATTCAGGCATCAAGCTTTGGGATGGGGGCTTTGGCCAGGCAAAAAAAACATATAACAATACGAAAATTTAGGGATAGAATAGTCCAACAATGGGATATCCCATAAAAATGGATACAATATCCAATGATGTGGACCAAAAAAATGGGAAAGGATTGTTGTGAATTGTTTATAGTCTGTTTAGTCAATCCACTCTTCGTCCGTTCAAACATCACAGGAGGCACTGGGAAATCCATCATTTTTAGAGGATGTTCCCATTGAAACCTCCACTTTTGATTACCCTCTGGTGAACATACAAAAAGCAATGGAAAATGGCCCAGTTGAAATAGTGGATTTACCCATAAAACATGGTGGATCTTTCCATTGCTATGTTAGTTCACCAGAGGGTACTGGAAGGTAATCATTCATTAGTTTGTTGCTTCCAAGACCTCTCATTTTCTGACGTGTCCCACCACTCGTGGTGCTGCAGTTGCTCTTGGACCAGCATGGTGTTCGACCACCAAGGTGCTCTACCACGTATTTGTTGGTGTTTAAGTGGGATTACAACCAGAGTAATTCTAGTAGGTTTTTCCCCTACTTAGTAACTTAGGGGCCCTTAGGCTTAGAACAACCACTATCTAAATCATATGATCTCACCGCTCACACCCCCTTCATGTTGAACACCCCAAATTTCAACCAGTATATCACAATTAATGTGGCTTACCAACCACTAAGAGTCAGAATCCCTGTTCCACACATCACTACTATATCCCAGATTTCAACCATTATATCATTATATCATTATACATTATATCACTACGAACTAGGCTTCCTAAGTCATCCAAGTCATCTGATCCTCCGTTTGCTCCCTAAGGCGCCTTGCAATTCATGGCCTTCCGTTCCATCTGCGCAGGGCTCAGCGTCGTCATCGTGGTCTGTGCGCTGATGGCCTTCCCTCACGTCCCGTGGACTGTTCCTTGGTTACCGGGACCCCCTGGGGGGACTCGCTGTGGCTAACATATCGACTCCATGACACATGGGTATGGTAAATTTCCGTTTATAATGCAGATGTTGGTAAGTAAACATCTAAGTCAATATAACATTTAGATGAGTTCCTTTGTAAAATCAATTGATTATAGACGAATGACTTTAATGAAATCGATAGTCAAATTAGTAAAATGTTGGGTGATTTTCCAGACTTATGTAACAACTTTTCCAGAGGGTAAACCGTATAGATACCTGCAAATATGACCAATTTTTCGCTGGGCAACATCCGGAAGAATGACCCGGGTTGATGTGGTTATCCCATAGTTTTATGGCCATGAGCTATGGCGAGCAGTTGGAAAGATCCTCCAGGTACTGGGCTTCATTTGAATCATATAAAACACAGTTTCCCAGTTCTTTTTCAAGGTTCAACTCGCTTCTTATAGGTTGAGTTCTCACTAAACATATGAAAGCCTCAGATGATCCAAACCCCCTAGAGATTTGTAGGGAGAATTTCTGGAAGGTCCACCCCAAAAAGATCATTTCCTTGGGAAACCAGCCATCTGATAGCGGAAGGGCCCCAGGCCGGTGGATGCGCGAAGTGCATCCCAACTACGGCAATGGAAAATCCCCGATTTAGTTCGATCTTCCCATGAAAACAGCATTTTTTAGTGGATTTGTCCCATTCAAACACCATGTTTACTTGATTTTTCCATATTTTTCCGATTAAAACACAAGTTTTAATGGATTTCCCAGCCAGCCACGTTTGATTTTCCACCGGATAAGTATCAGCCAGGTGTGGGTCTTTCTGCAGTGGCTCAACATCTCCGTTTCTTGGCTGAAGCAGCTGAAGGACAAAACTGAAAAAAATATGGCTGACCGCTATAGCAAAAGGGGTGGTTCTTAGATGATAGTTCAAGGTCGGGTCCTACAATTATGTATAATATTTATATATATATATATAAATGGATACATATATATATACATATATACATATACATATGTATATATTATATATACATACACATTATATATACATACATACTATATATACATACAGGTTTTAAAGTCTCGATTACAATAAATGTATGTTACCATGGCCAAAAATGCCCATCTTCTTGGGAATCGTTCCTTAAAGATATGGCCATATGGCCACCTTTCCGTTGGATGCGTGAAGATGATCCTTCAACCAGTACAACCAGCAAGCGGTTCAAGCTGGTGACAATGTGGGCAAAAAAGGGTATCTAGCCTCTGGTAAACAAACTAACAAAAAACTATGGAAAGATCCACCATTTTTCAGAAATTTCACGATTTAAATGGTGATTTTCCATAGCTAACACATTACCAGAGGCTAAGATTATGATTAGCACTGGATGGATGGTTTACCGGGGTGGTTCCCGCACCACCTGAACGAAGCTTTGGAGCTCCGAATTGCTGACTCGTTTCTTCAGGCTGACGCGTTGAGGTAGGGGCTGATTTTTTGATGTTGTGCATGTTGTTGTGGCATACTGGAAACCTTCTGCAGTGTGGGGCCCTACTGACCACTGAATGGGCTTCGATCACGGCACTGATCACCAGGGTTGGGTTAACCTTGGTAGGGGTTGGCAAAAAGGTACTGTGGTTTTTCAGAGTATCAATGGTGTTTTCAATGGGTTGATCGTTGATCGAAGGGAAAAAAATACACGAAAGCAAGATGTTGATCCCCAAATTTCTGGTATTTTTGGCAGGGTGCACAGTCTGTTTCACGGTGCAGCTTTGGCTGGCTGTGTTTCTTGACGATCCCAAGTTGACAAATGTTGATCCATTTCCTGTAGCTCCCCAATGTATATATATATATATGTATAATAAGTATACATGTGTGTGTAGGTGTGGGATGGTGTCGGCACATATGAGGGTATAATAAGTAGATAGATAGATAGATAGATAGATAGATAGATAGATTAGATAGATTAGATAGATTAGATAGATTAGATAGATTAGATAGATTAGATAGATTAGATAGATTAGATAGATTAGATAGATTAGATAGATTAGATAGTTTAGATAGTTTAGATAGATTAGATAGATTAGATAGATTAGATAGATTAGATAGATTAGATAGATTAGATAGATTAGATAGTTTAGATAGTTTAGATAGATAGATAGATAGATCGATAGATAGATAGATCGATAGATAGATAGATAGATAGCTTAGATAGATAGATAGCTTAGATAGATAGCTTAGATAGATAGCTTAGATAGCTTAGATAGCTAGATAGCTTAGATAGCTTAGATAGCTTAGATAGCTTAGATAGCTTAGATAGCTTAGATAGCTTAGATAGCTTAGATAGCTTAGACAGCTGGATAGCTTGGATAGCTTGGATAGCTTAGATAGCTTAGATAGCTTAGATAGCTTAGATAGCTTAGATAGCTTAGATAGCTTAGATAGCTAGATAGCTAGCTAGATAGCTAGATAGCTCGCTAGCTAGCTAGCTAGATAGCTAGATAGCTAGATAGCTAGGTAGCTAGACAGCTAGACAGGCAGGCAGGCAGGCAGACAGGCAGGCAGGCAGGCAGGCAGACAGGGAGACAAGCAGACAGGCAGACAGGCAGACAGGCACACAGGCAGGCAGGCAGGCAGGCAGACAGACATGTGTGTGTATGTATGTATGTGTGCGCAACGTTCTGCAAATCACATACCCACACATCAAACCTAATATCAAACTGGCCTCGATTGTAGCAATGGTTTCTGCACGCTTTGGTCATACGGTGCTTCTCCGGAGTGATGGCAGTGCTGTTGCCATCGGACGTAATTTACATGGAGAATGCGACATCTCACCTCTGGGTGAGGGGTTGACATACTACGTTCAGATTTCAGCAGGCTATGGCCATACAGTACTTCTCCGAAGTGATGGCAGTGTTGTTGCCTTCGGAGATAATCGAAATGAACAATGCAACATCCCACCTTTGGATGATGGAATGGTATACACCCAAATTTCTGCCGGTTATGACCATACAGTGCTTCTCCGGAGTGATGGCAATGCTGTCGCCATTGGAGACAATAGAAAGGGACAATGCAACATACCACCTCTAGACGAGGGGTTGACATACGTTCAGGTTTCTGCACGCTATTCTCATACAGTTTTTCTGCGGAGTGATGGCAGTGCTGTTGCCATCGGACGAAATACAGATGGACAATGCGACATCCCACCTTTGGATGATGGAATGGCATACACCCAAATTTCTGCCGGCTTTGATCATACAGTGCTTCTCCGGAGTGATGGTTGTGCTGTTGTCATCGGTGCCAATAGATTTGGATTATGCAACATCCCACCTTTGGATGAGGGAATGAAGTACGTCCAGGGTTCTGCAGGCTTTGCGCATACAGTGCTTCTCCGGAGTGATGGCAATGCTGTCGCCATTGGAGGCGATGCATATGGAAAATGCAACATCCCACCTTTGGATGGAATGGCATACGCCCAAATTTCTGCCGGCGATGACCATACAGTGCTTCTCCTGAGTGATGGCAGTGCTATTGCCATCGGAAGCAATGACTTCGGACAATGCAACATTCCGTTGCCAGCGCCAGGAATTTGCTACGTGGGCGATTTGACCTGTGGCAGAGACTTAGCTCTACAACTCGAGGCTGTGGTGGAGGGTGATGCGGTCACCCTGATTTGCTCGACTTTGGTTGGGGAAGAGCGCCTTCATTTGACAGCACGGGGCGTTGATTCGGCCTGGGAGACGCACAAAAGCATTGCCCGTGAATTGAAGATGAACCTTTGGAATCTTCACCTGGTTTTGCCAGATGGGCAGTTGTTGGCCAAAGTCTGCCGCGCAAATCCAGGGGCCTCAGTTGCTGACTTGACTCAAAGTACAAAGAGACGGCGAGTCGCATGACTTCTAAGCCACAGCGTGCACAGGGGTCCGTACATATTTGGCGAGTGAAACGCTACATGAAATGGTGGTCTCTACTAATTTAAGGTGGTATGACCCCCCAACCGTGCTGAAGGGCACGGATCAAAACCTACTATACCATAGTATACCATAGTTATATATAGTTTGTTGGCAATGAACATCCATCAATCATCCATAAATCCACAGCTTGCTTTGTTGCTCACCACGGGGTTTTGACCCATACCCTGACGGAGTACGGGCCGCAAACCTTGAGAGTCGCAGCAGCGGTGGTACTGGGATACGCTCTGAAGATCAAATGTGAGACTGGAATAAACATGAATAAACCATTATTTTCAAGTCATGGCCCGTCATGGCCATGATTTTGTTGACGTCAAGATACACCCCAAGGAACCTGCTGGAACCCGACAATCGCTTGGTAAAGCTAATATTGAATTGCTATTCAAACTCTTCTGAAGCTATCTGAAGCTAGGTTTTTATGCACCATGCCATAGTGGTTTACTTTTGCTCAACCCACGGTGGCACAGTCCGTTTGGTTTCAACATGTTTCAACCAGACCGCAGAATTTCTCTAGCGGAGCCTCGGCAGTTTTTGCTAATTGGGCAGTACCTAAGGGTGGTTTCGGTTCTTTTTGGTTAGGCTTTCTTTTCGGGCCTGTTCTTTTTATTTTTGGACCAGTGTAGGGTCCCTTATCTCTCTCAAATCTGCAGGATTCACAAGTTCTGTTTTGTTTTATTAAAATATGTTCTTATATGTGTCCTTTTCTTTGACTAGAACTTTGTAGACACGCCTGTCCTCCAAAATTAAGTGATCAGTTTGTTTTTTGTTAGGCACTCGTTTTGACTCAAACATTTCTGACAAATCCCTGACACCCAAATCAGGGTTTCAGTTTTTCAAGTCCCGTTGTTTTTTCTTGGATATTCAGCATTACAAAAAAAATGTAGAAAACTTGAGCCCTTCACCCAATTTGTGGTAGGATTTTTCGGGCTTCTATAGCTTCTATGATCACAAAGGATTGGCCCAAAAAGAAAGACTGACAACATGTGGAAACCCTTCATCCTAACAACAATAGAGGTAACAACTTGAAACTACTGATCAGATCTGATCAGATCTAGTAGATGGCTAACAGATTCTTGGGCATGCCACACCGGGAACATGTAGTGAGGACTGTGAAAGGGTGCCCAACCACCACTCCTATTGGGTTGTTGATGTTACTGTAGAATCTCTTGTGACAAAAGTCCATGATCTCACGGTTGGATCCAGATTTCCTCCCAACGCCCAGGTCATTTTTGCCAAGGTGGTCTTTCAGTTGCTCGAAGTGGGCTTGGAGGGAGCCACAGCATGACCGGGGAACCACCCAAGACTTGACTGAGTTGTTCTTCGTTTGGGTTTTGTTGGCAATTCGCCCAAGAAAAAGAATCAAACCATATCAAACCATGTCTTCCAATGGCAATGGTTTCTGCCAGCCAACCACTGTAAGCAACAAAAATAGCTGGCCATTTCTGGTGCGAGTCATGGCCGAATCCGGAGAGATATGTTGAAATTCGTGAAGAATCGGATTTTACCTGTTGGATCCTGTTGGTGTTTTTTGTTTGTAAATCACGCACCGTCCCCAGTCCCCACTAAACTTTTCTTACTTTGGTCCATTGGTGACCCCTTCGATCCTACTGTCGAGGCTTCCGCTCTTCTGCGAGGATGGCAGTCTGGATATGGGCTCCTGTCCCTCACTTTGCCGCGAGGAAATGCCCTGGACTGCCCTGCTGGGACTAGCAGCTTGACGCCAACCGCGCCAGTGGATCCGGAAACCAAGCATTTTCTGGCAGAACCGGGTTTTCATACCCTCTGGTAAACATAGAAAAAGCTATGGAAAATCACAATTTTTGATGGGTAAATCCACTATAAATGGGCCATTTTCAATAGCTATGTTAGTTTACCAGAGGGTATATGATACCTTGGGAAACCAGTGGTGAAGGCCCCCCGCAAAAGAACCTGATCTACAGATGGTGATTTCCCTCCGTTTTGGTTGAATCATTTTCGATGACCCCTTTTGATTCGTGGGTTCATATCCGTTCAGATGCTTCCCAATATAATGTTATCAGCAAGTAAATATGTTTTATATATATAACATGTATTCCTGCAGTAGGTTATTCTTTATGATCTTCATGATCTCAACATCAAAAATTCGGTGTCCCTTGGTATCTCCCCATGACTTCCGCTACCTCCACCCACCCACCCACCCACCCACCCACCCACCGCTGCAATGTGAGGTGAAGACACAGCAGAACGCCAATGCCCCTTGCAGCTTGGCCGAGCCCTCCTTGTCGGCAGTGCTGTGGGCCGACGTGCTCTTCTCGCTGGTGTTGCTGTTGGTCACTGGGAAAAACATGGCTGGGGATGGTTGAGGTTAATGTTAATTATATACTTGGGATTCGGATTGGTTTATGGTAGTTCATTGATGTTTTGAAAGAATGCTTTAGATGTGCTTAAGTTGTTTTCAGATTGACGCTGTTTTCTAATTTTGTTTTGCCCAAGAATGGGGATGTCATAAAATTACCGCTGGTTAATGGGATGGCCTATGATTACTATCTCCACTGTATGAGAACAGGCTGACAGGTGTTAGGCAATGTCAGGCATTTGTTCAGATCATTTTTGTTGTGTGCATGTGCTACGTACGCTTGCGATAAATTCAATAGGCTGGTGGAACCAGTACCAGCAGACCACCAGCCGGATCCAATATCTCCAGCCTATTTGAAGCTGAAAAGTCCATAAAATTCCGGCGAATTGTCACCCCAGAAATCCATTCTGAAGATCTGAAAGAATTGAAATTACCAATCGCTTGGATTTTTCAAAAAGTACCAATCGAGTAGCTAAAGTCAAAACAGTCGCGTGGCGACAGAGTTCTGCTGATCCCGAATCCCGGGGTTTGTCCATGGTTTTTCCGCCCTGATTCCAACCCCAAATCCGTGTGATTTGGACATGGGGTAAACCCTCCATTTCCAAAGCCAAAATGACCACAGTCGACTTGGATAAGTTGGGACAATTTTCAGGAAATCCTTCAAACAAACATCAACTTGTAAAAAATCATGGTTTCATCATGTTTCACCATAGCCTTGATCTCAGGTGATGTGCGCTTCGCGTATGGGCGGACGATTCGGAAGTACTTCGCAGATCTTGGAAAGCCACATGGCGGCCGTGGCAGTGATGTCAGGGTCCAAAAGTCCAAAAGTTGGGGAAGTGACCGGTAGTAGCCCTCGTTTTTCAGGGGGCCATTGAAGAAATGGTAAGACAGTGGTTAATAGTGGGGTTTTTAATGGTGGTTAATAACTGATAATAATGGCTAAATGTGGGTTTCTTAAGTCATGGGAACCCCACAGTCACCAGTTGCCTTCAATAGTCGTGGGAACCCCACAGTCACCAGTTGCCTTCAATATGCCTTCAATATCCTTCAATAAGTACTAAGTCATGACTGGATGATTTGGGGGATCCGGGACCCCCCATTGTTCTGAAACTCTATACCAATGTGGGGAATATATGGGATATCACCAAGACTTAACGGAAAATCCATGGGGTAAACACCCTCATTCGCCGAGGCTTAAAGGCAGTGGAGAAGAAGAATCGCAGGAGACCAGTTTTTGGCTCAACCAGCTGGTTGAGTTCACAGGGTACGTTTGTCTAAAAATGATATATGAGAGCCGGGGGCCCAAGAATACCCTGTTATTTCAAGTATGAAAAATGCATGCCATTTTCAACTAGTCTATGTTGTATATTCTTGACGGGTGTGCTGCTGATGATAGCAATTGTTGGCTAATGGTATTTCATGGGCCCAACATGAGAGGGTGTGAGCCATCAAGCATCAATACCAAGAAAACTGGCTTTGGTAGCCACATGCTGAAAGTATCACCAGCTAATTGGGGAGTTGTTTTTGTTCCTTGCCATATTTCTGTTTGGAATCAATGTGTCTAGCCCATATTGTCATGATCTTTAGGGATGTGCTACTACCATCTGGTTATTTTACATAGCCATGGAAAACTCACCATGCTATTAATAGGTAAAACATGGTAAAACAACTATAAATGAGCCATCTATACCATGGCGATGTTAAATAACCAGAGGGTAACACTGATGTTCCGATGGATCCGGATGCTCTGCGTTGGGTGATGGAAGTCCAATGGCTCCACTTAGTTACGGATCAATACCTATAAGTATAGCATTTTTGTATAATGAGCATCCATAAATCCATATAAACCCACAAAAACTCCAGATACTAATTAATATATATATATGTGTGTGTGTATATGTATATATATATATATAGATAAACCCCAGCAATTTTGGGGGTCAGAAGTGGATGTTTTGTGCCCCAGCTTTCGCAGGATGAGTACCCACATCACCCGCGAGATCTTGAAAGCTGCGTCGCTTGCGGAGCAGATCGAGGTGGGCGCAGACGATGACGATGACGAAGAGGATGAGGAGTTGGGTGGCAATCCTTCAGGCGGATTCTGTGTGGAGGGATGATGATTTGGGATGATGAACCGTGTTTGGGATGTTTTCTGTTGGGGAACCTGGGGAAGTATGATCTTTTGAGCAAACATTATTGGTTATGATAACTGATTATGGAAATGGAGCTTGGGAGGACTTTTTTTCAGGAACCATTGCTTATCCCAGTTTGGATGCTTTCATTTCGTAGGTCAGGAGATATGGATCCTTGGTGAGTTGTGAGTTTTTGAGGGTGGAAGGCGCTCCGTTACATGGGGCTGCAGGACTGCGGCTGTTAACTATGGATAACGATTATGGCCATAACCTCCATTAGTTGGGATATAATCCCTACAGCTATGGTGATGCATCCATCCAACTTTGAGAGGCTTTTTTATGGGTCACGAACCTGACAAAGCTAAACACCGTAGTAATTATTGGGAATATTCATGATCAATTATAGGATAAGTAGGGAGAGAGATATATATATATATGTATACGAATGGTTGTGGGGCGGAGCTAGCAATTTGTTGCAGGGCAAGGGTCTCGTCAAAAGATTAGATAGATATATGATAGATATATGATATGTCTATATATATATTATGAGATATTATTATGTTTATTTATTTGTACATACATATATATATATAAATAAATATACACATTATTATATTAAACATGATGTAATCAGAGCCCGTCAACTTCCGACAAGTTTTCAGATTTTTCCAGCCATATTAACCACCGATGACCAGCTGGGGAAGCAATGGTTGGAAACTCCCCGGTTCCCAGGCTAAACCTCAACCCACATCATTTGATCGCCATGTTCATGGCCTATATCAAGCTATGGAACCTACAAAATTTGGTAATCAAACATGGTTTGCTGGCTGGAACTGGCTGGACCCCCACCCATATCACCCATTTAGTTTAAGTTTAATCATTTCCCCATGGATGCAATTTCCGAACGCGCAGGTGCTGCGACCCCAGCGCCTGGTGGGGAAGAAGCTCAGGGCTCCAGATGGGTTCCTCAAATGCACCAGATTTTGGGAGCCGCTGTTGAGTTGGCCCATGAGTGGAGGTTTATACCATCAGTAGAAGCAATGTCATAAACCATCCATAGATCCATACTTGGATGGTTTATAATGGTTTAAAATGGTTTATACCCATGATTTGGGTGATTTTGGGGATGGTAAACACCATTTGCTTTACTCACATAACAGTTACTTCTTGACATCCTGTGGCTTCAAAAAATGAACAAATCTCCCAATCTCCCCGCCTTAGGCGAAGATGCTGAAACACGTGCAGGCCGAATCCAAGAAACTCAAGGAAACGGGTTGGCAATGGTGGCACCTTGTCGATGGCTCAGGGTGTGTAACTTGTATATCTTAAGGATAATGGGCCGAAGATCATACACAGAGAAGTACCCAGAACATGTGCAGTTCTTTCAATGATGATGAGAATGTGCAGTTCTTTCAAATGTGAGTTTTTTGAAGATTGATATGTTGAGTGTTCACGGTGTCCATGTTGCTGCTCAGGGGTCTCAGTATCTCTCTACTGACCTAGATCAACCTCGGTGGGGTGATGAATGGCGGGTGAATGGGCTGTTTATTAGCCATGTTGATGGGAAAAAACATGTCCGGGCTGGGTTTGGCCAGGATAGATCTCCCACTAACTTCAGCCTTGCATTCCCCGGCAATCAAAATACCCCTTTGAACACCATGGGAATTCAGAATCTCCAAAAAGCGTGTCAGATGTTTTCTGTGGCCAAAGGGCATTCCATGGCTCCAATTCCAAGGTGGAGCAGCAGGATAATCCCGGTGGATCATGACGCAAAAGTCAATCATCACCATTTTTTAGTAGGATTTCACTTCAATTTTTCGATTGTAAATATGGGGGATAGCCATGGGGATAGCCGGGATAGCCATATTTTCAAAGCTGGGCCATATGGAATTTCAAGGATCATCAGATCATCAGCTGCTTCCGCCGTTGCGCGGTCTTTCGAGGAAAGACACCGTGGTGGCTCCCGCCTACGTCCGAAAACCCGCGCGGGACTTGTACGAGATCCGCCTCAGTCTTGCCTTGACATGCCGCTAGGATGTCAGCTGGTGATTTAATGGTGGTTAATATGGGAATATCTATGGTTAATGGTGATTAATAGTGGATTAATGGCGATTAATGGTGGTTATTAATGGCTAATAGTGAATTAATGGTGATTACCCTCTGGTAAACAAACAAAAAGCTATTGAAAATTGCCATTTATAGTGAGGTGTCGCATCAAAAATTGTGATTTTCAATAGTTTTGTTAGTTTACCAGAGGGTAGTATGAAATGGATTACCCCAGCTGATTTTAAATTGCATTTTCTGTTGAAGGATTGTTTTAAGATTGTGACTGCTAGATTAATTGGGTAATTGTTTAATGTCACTTTGGCGGGGAAATAGACTACCCACATCTATGTACTCTAAATATGTTGATTTACTGTATTTTGCCGGACAAGGTCTCCATGCTTCACAATCAAAATCTTGAGACTTCGGGGATATGGCATTGTGATGTTTGGGCCAGTGGGCCCCACGTTTGGTAGAGGCACATCATTGCATTTCCGGACATACCTTTTTAATCCTTTTATCCATACTACCAACTTCCTATAATATAACATCCTATAATCAGGAAGAGGTTGAAGAGGTCCCTTGGTGCCTTGGTCCTTTGCTAGCCATGTTTGCATTGCTGCTTCGATCTCGTGGGCTTGAACCCATCAAGTCCAGCGTGGTCATTCCTCCCCTAACAAGCGACGCGTAGCCCAACAAGGTGCAGTTGGAAGATGCTGCTTACCTTTTGAACCCCCTTGAAAAATGACATTCTTTCCAGGTTTTACATGGTTTTACCATATTTTTGTGATATTTTTTCCCACTTAGCCGCGCCCCTGGACAGCGCGGCTCATCCCATGTCGAGGCTTGGCCATGCTGATCTTCGGGTGGACCTCTATGGTGGACAGCGGCCGCAGCTTCAGCACCTCCCTGAAGACCAACAACTTCAGCGGGACGCAGGTCCGAGTCCTGGCGCCTTGGCGGGTTGGCGGGGGGGAAGGGGTTGGGAGGGGAAGGCTGAAGGGGGGGCCCGGGGGGGCTGGAGATATCTTGAGATATTTTTTGGGGGATAACATTTTTGAGTGCCACCCAGAATGTTAGATCGTTAGATCTTCTTTCAATGTGCCACGGATTTGATGAATTTTCAGGCTCTTGGCATCATTTGGCATCTTGGACGGAAGAAAATTGTAGTTTGTGGTCGTGTGATGTCCTGGCCCAGGTACACTACTGGTGAAAGACGATCCTTCTTTGTTTGCGAAAATGTGTTCCACTCCCACTGGACAGATCTTCATTGGATTAAGGGAACATTTTCACCGGAAAATCATGGTGTTTTTAACATCAAATTGGTTAGGGTGTCCATCTCTGCCGGAAGCCTATCATCAGTTCTCACCATTCATAATCCCATAACAATCACCATTAATCACTATAGATCCCCTGTAAATCCCAATATGATTCACAAAAACTTTTCATTTCTCATCCCATTAATCCAATATCATCACCTTTTACTAAGCCAGGGCTTCATGATGCTTCATGGATTTCCCGAAAGGTCCTTTTCCTCATCATGATCGTCGTCGATCGTGCCTTATATACCTGGTATCGTGGGGACCACGGCCGCGACGGCACCGGCAACGCTCTGAACTCTGCCTCCTTCAAGGCGCGAAGATAGAAATGGCAGAAAGGATGGGAGGAATTTCACCATCAAAACTGGCATTTTTTGGGGAAACTCATAGTGATTAATGGTGATTAATGGTGATTATATAATGGGATTATTAATGGTGATTACTCAACCACGATTTCTATCAATATATCTATTTGTCAATCTATCAATCAGTCCCTTTGTCTATCTCATCATCTCATCTCATCTCATCTCATCTCCTCTCAGTCCAATCCAATTTTCTTTCAAAAAAGTCAAATCTACTGTAATCACCCCTTAAATATGTTCTGAACCTAGATATCATTATCTATCATTATCTATCATTATCTATCCATTCAATAGAAATACGGTGTCTATTTTACTTCAATACATCACATATTGTGTTCCAATGAGTTTTGTCCAACTTACCTTGGAAGAGATCTCGGCCAGGGCCTACTGGCCCGCGTGGTGATGAAGATTCTGGTGGTGGTGCATGTGATCTGTGGCTGGGCAAAGTGATGGGGAAAAAAGTTTGTGACTGGTGAAGAATGGGTCAGAATGGCTAGTCAACGTTAGTCATCTTAAGATTCACACTGGTCTTACGCTTGTTAGGAATGGTTAGTAATGGTAGTGGCCCATTTAAAACCGGCATCAACGGTCAATCTTGGTGACGACTGGTCCATAGTTCATAGTGATTAGTACTGAGACCGGGGTGATGAGTTGATCCCTAACAAAATGTGATAATGGAGCAACATACCTAGCAGTGTTTTGCACTGGGTAACATCCCAATGTGTTTCCTTCCGGTTTCGATTTTGTTGTGCCCGATTTTGAAGGCCGGGTGTTACGGATTCCATACATAATCCACCTTTGGAATCAACGAGTGAACAAACGTTAGCAATGAAGAATCCACATAATATATAAACCCCGGTTGGAGTTCCAGTCTTTCAATGTCTATCAATGGTGATTTCAATTAAGCGGCCCCATGTTTGGCAGCCTGGCATTTGGATGATGTTTGGATATTCTTTTCGGGTAAAATGATGCACATATTGCATACATGTCGAGCATGTGGGTATAAATGAACTACCATGGTATATTTGTCATCCTGATTTTCAGTATATTTGCCATGATACTGTAAAAACAGAACATGTCCATAGTTATTTACACAACCAATCATTTACACCATATATAGTTACATATCCATACGTATCCCATGTATTTCTAGTGATGGTGATATCATATCATATCCACCATCCACCCCTGCGACACCGGGTGGTCCCCGTGGTTTCGCCCAGTGCTCCATTGTCTCTTCATCGAGCAGTGGAGTCGGAAGGTGGTCCGAAAAGAGAAGATGTCGCTGGGTGAAAGTCGCCGCGTTGCCGTGGCGCTGGTTTTTTTGGGGGATAGATGGGGATAGTTTTTGTTTTGGGTAAATGTATTTTTTTTGAGAAATGCCTAAATGATGGTAAATGATGGTAAACAAAAAATGATGGTAAATGTTGGTAAACTCCATGTTTTTATGCCTAATTGATGGTAAATGAAAACATGGAGTTCATGAGAGGGCCTGGTCAATGATGGTAAATGTCATTTTTGTTTCGGATAGTTATGCCTGGTAAATGATCGGTAAATGTTGTATGTAAATGTAACACGGCTACAGGAGTTGATAGTATGATTTTGATTCTTTGGATGGACTTGTGATTCCATCCATGGTCACAAGCGGTCACAACATGTGCATTTTCAGATCGGGGATTGGTCATTTTTTCATGGATAGGGTTGAATAGGGTTGGATTTCCCAAAATTTTCTCATGTTTTTCGATGTTTTTTTTCCATGAAAACCTCCATTCAGAAGATTAGCGTTGAGAAATCCCATCATCGGCCAAGCCGGGAGTGTGGCGTCGCAGATTTGTCCACAGGCATCACTATGGGATGATACCATCTGGTTATGACTAACAGGGCCAGCCATGGAAAATCCACCCATTTTTAAGAACGGTAAACCATCTCTTTCGATTAGGGCCATCTATAATATGGCTATGTCAAATAACCAGAGGGTAGCATTCCCACACCCATCGGTCCAAGGAAGTCTGACAGATCTTTGATCTCCATGTCGATGCTGTCGGGCTTCTACGTGCTTTGGCGGAAGACCATTTTTGAACGGAGATCCCCGGGGATAGGATGCAGTGGATACAGTGGATGGGGCGAAATCCAGTTATCCCCAGTTGAAAACGGTGGATATAGGTGGTAAACATCCCCTGATTTTGGATGGGTTTCAACATGTTTCAACCATCCTTTTGGTGGCGCAGGATTTCGCAACCATCCACAGTAGGGCGCGTTTGGATGTTGAGAGGATTCTAATCGCTTATATCATACATCCTGATCTCATTTGGTGGTACCATTTGATGAAATGTACTGAGGAAATGCTGCTGAACGATTTGTGTTTGGACGTCACTATTAACCTTTTAAATCATGGAATAAATAGTTGATACCCGATTGAATATGAGCATTTTTGTCAAGGGGTTTCCAAGTTTTGCAATGTTAAGGATAATTCTCACCGCACGGTGAATCCATGAATGAATTCCTGCAAATTCCGATGTGCCAAAACATGTGCTTGGGGGGAGTGAATGCATCCGTCACTCACATTGTGTTTGAGGCACAGTTGAGGTTTGTGTTAAAGATTTAAAGCATGTTTGTATACATTTTTATTGGTCAGTATCGTCAGGTATATTCGAAACATGTGTATTAATTAAAAAAAACATTATAATATATATTATATATAGCATCAGGTGCGTTTGTAAATATGTCGGTTTTACATCATTACCCTATGTTTTTTTTTTTCATGGTTCTGTTGCTAACAAAGACGTCACCCATTTCTCCCAGCTTTTCCAGCCAGGTGCTGTACCTCACGTACTTGGCCTTGAGTTCGCTGCAGCTGAAGTACGACGTGCACGTCATGCGTGGAGGGCTGCGCTTCTGCCATAGCACCGATATTGGCTCCATGCTGGTCTTTAAGGTAGGGAACAATGGGGCCAGTGGTGTCCCATGGTGTCCCATTCTCCAAAGCGATTTAGTCAAGAAATGTCAAGAAAGATACCAAGGATGCAACTGCATTTTAAACTTAAAAGATATTGATATATAAGAAACATGAATCACCAATCAACCAGCAGTTACATAGCCAGCATCAGCTAGCAATTCCAACCACCCCAACATCTAGTCCAATAAAGTTTTTGGGAGCCAGTGACAGAAGATCAAACCGCAGCATCTCTACACCCAAAAACCTTCGCTGAATTGCTGCTACGATCCATGAACCGTGCCCTGGGGGCCCAAAGGTTGACGGATATCGAGCGATCAAACGGCCCCTTTTTGAACCCAATCTGCAGCAGATCAACTCCAAGCCACTCAAAACACCCAAAGAAACAGTCCATCAGCCTAGTTCAATCATTTTATTTCCAGAATATGTCCAATTGCCATTTCAACTAAGTACATTGATGACATTGATTCTTATCCCATCTAAAAACTCCTGTTTTTGCATGTTTTTGTTGACCTCCCATATCTTTCCCTTAAACACTTGGTGCGCCACCGTTTTTAGCGCATCGGACAGTGCCAGGCCTACAGCGCCATCCCCTTCCTCAACGAGCTGCGGGTCATCACCGATTGGACCGTCACGGAGACCTCCATGAACCTGTCCTTTCCCGGCATGGCATGCGTCGGCGGTGGCAGAACTGACCGGGCGTCAAAAAAATGATGGGTGTATAAATTGATGGGTGTAACATACACCCTGGTAAATAAACAGTTGGAGACTTTATTAATCACCCATTTTAAATGGAAACTAGTCTTCCAACCCGACTGCCAGGGTCTATGTTAATTTACCAGAGGGTATCTATAATATGACTGATAATATATCTATAATACACCATTTGTATAAATTGATGGGTGTAACATATCTATAATATCTATAAAATTGCCTGACCCCCCCCAAAAAAAAAACAAAACAATGTCAACTGGTAGGTTTATGGGCAAGGAATCCCACAGAATTATCACATGGTGTGGGATCATTAATGGGATATACCCTCTGGTAAACTAACATAGCTATGGAAAATGGCCCATTTATAGATGGTTTACCTATTAAAAATGGTGATTTTCCATGGCTATGTTAAATTACCAGAGGGTAATACAAACAACCTGCCTGGACTTCCCACTTCCCACGTTTGAAATAGGCCCGGTTTCTTGAAAGATGATCTTTCGCCAAGCTTGGTGATCTTGGCCGCCAGGCGGCATGCTCCAGCCCAGGTTCATGTGGCTGAAGTTGGAAGATGCTCATCATAGCCTCTATCGCACGCGCCTGGATATGGAAGGCGCCGCTGGAGACATTTGGATGGGACATCCATTGGATAAATTGGATCCACAATCTATCTATCAGATCTATCAGATCTATCAGGCTCTGAACATGTCTGAAACAAAAATTGCTATCCAAACAAACGGTTTATCAATGTTTATCATGATGTTCGCGTTTAAAAAATCTCATGAAAAAACACGATTGGTCTTGGCCATCCCAAGCCAACAGATGTTTTTCTGTGCTCCTTTGATGTGCTCAGGCCCCCTAGGTAACTAACTAGTATGGTTGCTTTTTATCAATATTCATCTAATCTAAACCTCAGAAAGTAACCACTCAAATAAGAGTATATATATATACCCTCTGGTTATTTAACATAGCCATGGAAAATCACCATTTTTAATAGGTAAACCATCTATAAATGGGCCATTTTCCATGGCTATGTTAAATAACCAGAGGGTATATAGTATATACCAAGATGTTAGGGTCAAATTCAGATGTTTACATTGAAGTTTAAATACCGAAACTGCTGCACAAATTGTTGCCCCAGTCAGGTCCCAAAGTGGGCCAGGCCTTTGACTTGTTGCCAGGCCGGGCGCTGACTGAACCGGCTTCAGCTCGGCCCATGCCACTTGGAACTGGATCAACGACATGGATCAACGGGGATGAGTTAAAACCTATTGGTCCATCAACCAATGGGGATTTAACCATCAACCAATGGGGATTTAACCATCAACCAATGGGGATTTAACCATCAACAATGGGGATTTAACCATCAACCAATGGGGATTTAACCATCAACAATGGGGATTTAACAATGGGGATTTAACCATCAACCAATGGGGATTTAACCATCAACAATGGGGATTTAACAATGGGGATTTAACCATCAACCAATGGGGATTTAACCATCAACCAATGGGGATTTAACCATCAACAATGGGGATTTAACCATCAACCAATGGGGATTTAACCATCAACAATGGGGATTTAACCATCAACCAATGGGGATTTAACCATCAACCAATGGGGATTTAACCATCAACCAATGGGGATTTAACCATCAACAATGGGGATTTAACCATCAACCAATGGGGATTTAACCATCAACAATGGGGATTTAACCATCAACCAATGGGGATTTAACCATCAACCAATGGGGATTTAACCATCAACAATGGGGATTTAACAATGGGGATTTAACAACCATCAACCAATGGGGATTTAACCATCAACAATGGGGATTTAACCATCAACAATGGGGATTTAACAATGGGGATTTAACCATCAACAATGGGGATTTAACCATCAACCAATGGGGATTTAACCATCAACCAATGGGGATTTAACCATCAACAATGGGGATTTAACAATGGGGATTTAACCATCAACCAATGGGGATTTAACCATCAACAATGGGGATTTAACAATGGGGATTTAACCATCAACCAATGGGGATTTAACCATCAACCAATGGGGATTTTCAACCATGGGGATTTAACCATCAACCAATGGGATTTTCAACAATGGGGATTTAACCATCAACCAATGGGGATTTAACCATCAACAATGGGGATTTAACAATGGGGATTTAACCATCAACCAATGGGGATTTAACCATCAACAATGGGGATTTTAACAATGGGGATTTAACCATCAACCAATGGGGATTTAACCATCAACCAATGGGGATTTAACCATCAACCAATGGGGATTTAACCATCAACCAATGGGGATTTAACCATCAACAATGGGGATTTAACAATGGGGATTTAACCATCAACCAATGGGGATTTAACCATCAACCAATGGGGATTTAACCATCAACAATGGGGATTTAACCATCAACCAATGGGGATTTAACCATCAACAATGGGGATTGAACAATGGGCATTTAACCATCAACCAATGGGGATTTAACCATCAACCAATGGGGATTTAACCATCAACCAATGGGGATTTAACCATCAACAATGGGGATTTAACCATCAACCAATGGGGATTTAACCATCAACAATGGGGATTTAACCATCAACCAATGGGGATTTAACCATCAACCAATGGGGATTTAACCATCAACAATGGGGATTTAACAATGGGGATTTAACAACCATCAACCAATGGGGATTTAACCATCAACAATGGGGATTTAACCATCAACAATGGGGATTTAACAATGGGGATTTAACCATCAACAATGGGGATTTAACCATCAACCAATGGGGATTTAACCATCAACCAATGGGGATTTAACCATCAACAATGGGGATTTAACAATGGGGATTTAACCATCAACCAATGGGGATTTAACCATCAACAATGGGGATTTAACAATGGGGATTTAACCATCAACCAATGGGGATTTAACCATCAACCAATGGGGATTTAACCATCAACAAAGGGGATAACAGCCGAATTTCACCATCAACAACGGGGATTCGGATAGGGGGGTAATAGAGAGTAACCGTGATTAACCATTGTAATCCGGGGATGGGTCAAAACCTATGAGTTATCATATTTTAATAACTTTTGGGCGATAAACATCCGACCAATAAATCCTTCAATATTGTGGGGTGAAAGCCAGGAAATCGATTTTGGTGAACTGACCCAAATCACCTGCCGATGCCTTTTTGGCAGGATCGGCGTTGAGTAGGAAACGTTTACGGATGATTTCCTACTGTATACGCAGCATTACGCAGCTACATGAACTTCACATTAGATAAATTCATATGATTTTTCATCATGCCACAGCCACAATGCCCGTAAAAAAAGTTGGAAACTCAGTCGTCTTCCTTAAACGGAAGTGCCGAGGTTTGAGAAGGTCTACATGGGAGCCAAGGCTGCAGCTGATTTTCTTGCGAGAAGGGTCAGGTCTTTCCAAGGCACCATTTGGTATGGCGAAACATACCATAGATCCATAGCGGAATGATTCGGAATGATCAAAGAAATGACTTACTTAAAGGATTTAAGAAACATGACACCATATGATCATTAAAATCCTGACAACATCAGAACAGAACATGTCCACCTCAAAACACAGCCAGACCAGCAACTGTATGGCCAAAGTCCGCACGGGAACCTGTAGATTTGATTGTGCTTCAGGGGCCTGGGGGTAACTTTGGTTTGATTGTGGACACGGGGATAATGTTAAACCACAAATTGACGTGGATAAATGTATCGATGTGATAGAATATATATAGTCTCTAGACTACTTGGACTCGGACTTTACTAGAAGTGCACGTCTTTAAAAGCAATCCAAGTTTATCTATAGCTCAGTCATGTTTTCTTTGACAGGGAAATGCCACGACTTGCACGACTTGTCGCCCAAGGAGTTGCTTTGCTTCTGCTGTTGCTGGGTTTGTTGGTCGGGCCTATCATTTTCTTCTCGGCGCTGAACACCTTCATGTTGCTTGGAACATCTTGGAATGGGGGCGTCTTTGTGGCAAACGGATGACACGGGAAAGACCAAGCATGACCAAGTCATTGTGTTGGGAGTAAGCGTTTGACCATGCTTGACCCTATAATATCTTGCAACGGAACAAACGTATTCGTGCATCAAAGTGAGACAGAACTCTGGTGAAGTTGCATATCACCCGGGTTAATCGTAGATAAGGAAGGTTTCGGCCAGCCAAGCATTCTGTCTTCGTGTTCTATCTATTTGCTATCCAAAAGTTGGGGGGATACTCCCAGAGACAACCACTGCCCACTGAAGTCACAGAATGGTGAACTGGGCCCCTGGTTGGAAACCTATTGTGACATACCCAAAAAGAAGGGTTGGCACTCGCAGATCTCCCAACTTTCCGGACAGTTCTGCTGAACCCTCATTGCCCATGAAGCCCTGCACATGATGGTAACTATTTGGGAGACTATATAGACTATATATATATATATAGACTATATTATCCATTGAATCATGGGACTCCCTAGAATCATAGAACGTCGGAATTGGAACTGGAATGCATTGAATTTACGTGATCCAGATGGGTAATTATGGTGGCGCACAATCGGATCCTGAATGTGATTAAGATTATCCTAGTGGTGACTGCTGCCGTTAGTGGGCTGTACCAAAAAAAACATGTGCACAACTATACACAACTGTAATCCAATATCGAGCCAAAATGAACCCACGAAAAAGTGTTTTTTTTTGCCTGGTGGTTGTTTGCAAAATGTGTTCATTTTGAATGCAAGCTGTGATGAAGCCAACTGCGAAAAACCAACTCAGGCTGGTGCCTAGTGTGGTGAAATCTGCTACCATGTCTGTGGATGTGAAGGTGGAGGCGAGTGGTCCGTTTCCGGCCTCTGGCCTTGGAAATTTCTGAAAGTAGCGCACGTGCATCCCACGAGCAATTGGTGCTGGGATGTGCTGGGGTACCTCCCAGTTGTATCCAGTTGTAAGATTTATAAATATTGAATTGAAGATAATTGAAGGACATTCCTGACACGGAAAGGACGACGCCTGCCGTTGCAGGCGATGCAGGCGATGGGCATTTCTTTGCCTCAAATCTTCGAACCGAATGGATCAAACAACATTGGGGTACCTCCACCAGTTGAAAGTGCCTCAACAATCTTTTAATCCTCTTGATATTCTATTATTTCTATTGCCTTTGGACACCTTCCAGTCCCTAAAAACCTGGAAAGGTCCCCATTGAACGAAAACAGAATTCCAGATTCATGAATTTCTTTGGATGTTTAACAGAATCACTACATACCATCCTATTGATGCTTAAGATTTCCCATGAAAATCCCATGATTTTGGGCTGAAATCTTCCCCCATGACCTCTCCAAAACCTGCAAAAATTGCAGGCCACTTATGGCCATCGCGCGCTGAACCTCTACACCGCAGTGCAGGAGCTTTCTTCATGGGGATTGAACACACACACACATGTATATGACGATATATATATATATAATATACCTAGGGAACCCAAACCCGAGAAAATCTGGGATATAGAAAAAACACATATTACATCTATCTATCATCCACTAATTTAGGGTAATCCATGCGTAGGCATCATTATGAATCGCCAATTTTAAGGATGAACATTATCCATGATTTCCATAACGGGAATTTAATCGGAATATCAAATGGAACATACCCTCTGGTAATTTAACATAGCTATGGAAAATCACCATTTATAGTGGATTTTCCCATTGAAAATGGTGATTTTCCATAGCTATGTTAAATTACCAGAGGGTAACCCCCATTGAAATTTGGCGAATTTGGGGTAAAAGTTGTCAATGCCGCAATGGTGGATAGTCATGGGATAGTCCAAAAGGGACTCAGGTGAGGACCGGGGAATGTGAAATCCCAGCATCAAATAGGAACATATAGGATTCATCGACAAGTTTGTCGATGAATTTCCATTGCCAGCTAGAAAATGATCATAGGATAGTACGATTTTTAAAAGGACTATATATAGATACTATAAGTGTTTTTCTGAATGGGTTCATTTTAAAGAAGTCCAAGCCATGAAATTCGAGCCTTTTTGCACCTGTTGTCAAATCCTGTCGTCAGGACTACATCGAGAACCACAACGAGAGCTCGGCGCAGGACTTTCAGAAACGTCTATTGGACTCGGAGATCCCAATCTCTTTGCAAGACATTCGGTGCCTGGGCTGGGCATGGATGGTGCCAGGGGGGTTTTGTTATGGGGACGTTTGAGGGGATATTTATGAAAGATATCATGATACGTTTGTGGTGGACAATGCGAAACATCACCAGGGTGAAATCACCCGGTTACACAAGGGATCGGTGCCAATCATTGCAAACCTTGATGGGCTGGGTTTATTTCATAGTATGTTCCCACGCATGGAGGAATGGTCAATATATGTCAATATTATTATATATTCTTGCACCTAGCTAAAACCGTATATGGTCATGATTATTGCCATTCCACCAACTAACAGAAACAAACAAACTATGCAATAACATGCAATTACTTTACTTCGTGTGATCCCCACCATGACATTTATACATTTTCTTACTGAAAAATCTTCTGGCATTCTATCTGACATATCTTCTGACATTCTATTTGGCATTCTATCTGGCATATCTTCTGGCACTCTATCTGACATATCTTCTGGCATTCAATCTGGCATTCTATCTGGCATATCTTCTGGCATATATTCTGACATATCTTCTGGCATTCTATCTGACATATCTTCTGGCATATATTCTGACATATCTTCTGGCAAATCTTCTGGCATATCTTCTGGCATATCTTCTGGCATATCTATCTGGCATATCTTCTGGCATATTTTCTGGCATTCTATCTGGCAAATCTTCTGGCATTCTATCTGGCATATCTTCTGGCATATTATCTGGCATATCTTCTGGCATATATTCTGACATATCTTCTGGCATTCTATCTGGCATTCTACTTGGCATTCTATCTGGCATATCTTCTGGCATATCTTCTGACATTCTTTCTGACATTCTTTCTAAATTTCTTCTGCACATTCTTTGTCCCATATCTTCCTACATGAGGTCCGGCAGGGAACACTTGGCGTGGATACTCGCGGTTGAGGTCCGGCAGGGAACACTGGGCGTGGATGGTCGTGGTTGAGGTCCGGCAGGGACCACTGGGCGGGGATGGCCGTGGTTGAGGTCCGGCAGGGAACACTGGGCGTGGATGGTCGTGGTTGAGGTCCGGCAGGGAACACTGGGCGAGGATGGTCGTGGTTGAGGTCCGACAGAGAACACTGTGGATCGCGGGTCGCAGTTGGACGAGGAGGACGACGAGGAGGAGGACGACGAGGAGGAGGAGGAGAGGAGGAGGAGATGAGGAGGAGGAGAGGAGGAGCAGGCAACTGACATAAAATCTAACAACCCTCACCTGGCAGGTGGGGAATAACCAAAAACTGTATGCTTAACACTACAATATTCTTAACTTTCAATGAGTCACTACCACTAGTACCCCGCCAGCTAAAGTTTCGCCCATCCTCTTGAGCCCCGGTCTGGGACACAGTGATTCAGTCGACTTAACTGGAGCATTTGCCACAGAAAAAGTCTGTGGGTTTCTACGAACAAAAACACTACAGCTACCAGTATGAGACAAGAAACTAGAAAGGCACATTTTAAGTGAGACTGTGGCCAAAATAGTTTCCTCACCACTTTCCTCCCAGGGCATAGAGCCATTGCGGTTGATGCATGAAACCTACGGCAGCCAAACTCAGAAAATGTCTTGAACCATTCTAGTTCAATCTTGTGCCAAATCGTGACCCATTCTTGATCACCAACGCAGCAAACCGGCCTAGATCAAGTTGGCCTCGATTCGATCCATGGTTTCGGCTGGCTATCAAAATACAGTTTTTCTGCGGAGTGATGGCAGTGCTGTTGCCATCGGAAACAACTCATTTGGAAAATGTGACATCCCACCTTTGGATGAAGGAATGGCATACATCCAGGTTTCTGCAGGCTTGGAACATTCCGTGCTTCTGCGGAGTGATGGCAGTGCTGTTGCCATCGGACTAAATATAGATGGACAATGCAACATCCCACCTTTGGGTGAGGGATTGACATACACCCAGATATCTGCAAGCGGGGGTCACGCAGTGCTTCTCCGGAGTGATGGCTGTGTTGTTGCCTTCGGAAAAAATCGACATGGACAATGCAACATCCCACCTTTGGATGAGGGAATGACGTACGTCCAGGTTTCTGCAGGCCTTGCGCATACAGTGCTTGTCCGCAGTGATGGCAGTGCTGTGGCCATCGGACAGAATAAAGAGGGACAATGCGACATCCCACCTTTGGATGAGGGATTGACATACGTCCAGGTTTCTGCAGGCAATGAACATACAGTGCTTGTCCGCAGTGATGGCAGTGCTGTTGCCTTCGGAAATAATCGAAATGGACAATGCAACATCCCACCTTTGGATGAGGGAATGACGTACGTCGAGGTTTCTGCAGGCTTTGTGCATACAGTGCTTGTCCGCAGTGATGGCAGTGCTGTTGCCTTCGGAAATAATCGAAATCGAGAATGCGACATCCCACCTTTGGATGAGGGAATGACGTACGTGCATGTTTCTGCAGGCAATGAACATACAGTGCTTGTCCACAGTGATGGCAGTGCTGTTGCCATCGGGGACTCTGCTATAGGCTTTGGGCAATGTTACATTCCGTTGCCAGCGCCAGGAATTTGCTACGTGGGCGATTTGACCTGTGGCAGAGACTTAGTCTTACAACTAGAGCTTGTGGGTGAGGATGATGCTGTCATGCTGATATGCTCGACTTTGTCTGGCGAAGAACGTTTTTGTTTGAGTGTAGAGGGCGTTGATTCGGCCTGGGAGACACACAAAAGGATTGCCCGTGAAATGGGTGTGAACCTCCCAAATCTCCAGCTCATTTTGCCAGATGGGCAGTTGTTGGCCAAAGTCTGCCATACAAATCCAGGAGCCTCAGTTGCTGCTGTGACTCAAAGTCTACAGCGACGGCGACTCACATGACTTCGCCACAGCTATCACGTCAAGCGGAGACCATGGTTCATGTGGCTTCGACCGGCTTAACCAGGAGCCCCTGCATGGGCAGGTGAATCCCAGCCCATTTTTCATTAGATCCCATTAATTTGTAGATTCGTTTCGTTCTTTCTAACCGCAGCTGGCATCCAAAAAAAAAACATGCCACTGTTTCATAGTGTTTCGGGGTTCCCGAAGATCATGCGCCGCAAAAGACCATGAGATGATGGGATTTGGACTGTGTTTTTACTTCACCATCTCGTTTGGCCATCAGAAAGCACATCCGGTGATTAGATCCTGAAATATCCCCCAAATATGCTATCTATCCCACCAAATGTCCCCATCAAATGCTACTGTAATCATCAACCAGGCAATCATCATATGTGTATATATGTACATACCTAAGTATATATATATATACATATGTGTATATATGTGTGTATGCATATACATTGTATACATATACATTTATTTGTCGATTCTGTCCTATTCTAATCCCACATGCGTTTATTGAACCATGTTGAACACTTGCAAAATATTGTTAATCCACCAGCCAGCAACCATCAAGCGACAGGCGTATCGGTTTTATTTCCTTAAATGTTTGGGAACTGAACCCCGTTTTAAAAAAGATGCTTAACGGACCTTAACGGTTAACCGTAACGACATCAACCACTACCCCCGAAGTAATCATTGATCAACCAATCCTCAAAGCTAATCTAAGTTGTTGGGATTAAAACTATCCGAGTATATACCCAGCATATTTGAATCATATCCAGTATTCTTGGTCCTATTATATATCCGATATCCCATATCTTCCCCATGTTATGTCCCCCATTAATGGTGGGTACCCTCTCATAATGCAACGTAGCTATGGAAAGTCACATTTTTTCAAAAACGGTAAACCATCATAAAACATCGAACTAAATAAACAATTTCAACTTTCCATAGCTATGTCAATTAACACCATCATAATTTATATTTATTTCCCATTCTATTCCCAGCAAGTGTTGGTTATATCCCTGCCATATTTTCCGACATAATTGTATGGATGTCTCCTAAGTTTCCTAAAATGGGGGTACCCCAAATCATCCAAGCTATTAGACCGTTGTAGTTGTAGTATTGAAACCCATGGTGACTTGCGCATTCCGCATGCACTTATTCACAACTATTAACCAGTATGAACGACTATTAACCACTATAAACCACTATCCCCCATATATTTCCCATCTATTTCCTAATATATCCCATATATTTCCATATGTTTCCCATGTATTTCCATATATTTCCCATATTTTTCCCCATCGATTTGGTGGCCGCAATGCAGCAATCTCCAGTGGTCCAGGTTCCCCTTTGCCTCGGACGAGCTGTGGGAGATGAGTGCCTCGCGACAGCAGATGATCGCAGAGCTCATCAATCCCTTTCTGCACCCCGACGTGTGCCTCGGACGTAAAGAAAACGTGGGCCGCCCGGAATGTTGCGCGGCTCGGGCGTGCCGTAGGGAGATGTTGGTGTTTTTGTGTATATATATATATACATATAAAACAAAAATAAATAAATAGATATATATATATATAAATTAAATATTATATATACATATATTCCTTTATATAAACATATCCTCATGAAACCCATTACATCATCATGAATGTCGCGCTAAAGCTCTATTTCCCACACATTTCCCTGAACATTTGGGGTCAAAGCTCCATTTTTTGAGGACGGTGAAACTGCGCTTGAGCTATCAATTTCATCGCAACTCCTCGTTGCCAGTGGATGGCTTCAAGGTACCCATGGGCAAACTGGGAGATCATAACCTCCTCTAACTCTATGGCCATGTATGGCCATCTACATACGCAAATAAAAAGTGGAACCCCAAGACCCCAAGCAGACAAGGTTCCAAAATGAGGAGACTTCTACAAAAGCAAGGTTTCTGAGCGGCCTGTTTATTTGTCACTCGGTCCGTTGGTAGAGATTCCTGGGGTGCGTTACTATGAGATTAAACAAGCATTGTCTGTCAACCGCAGAGAGCAAGCATATATAATTATACAATAAATCAGGTAATTCCATCAACACATAAACAAATACACGTATATATGCTGTATATGTATCTGTGTATATATATATATACATACATATTCCAAATTACTTCCCCTTTAGCTCTGTTGAACTCCATCAACCCCCCCCACCAGGAGGTGGTGGTTGACAACTCGTCACGGGCCGACCTGGGTCGTATGTTGACCAATTGCCTGGCGCCAGTGCCTCGATCAAAAAATCAACTTGTGTTTTGTTTTTCCATCTAAAAGTGGCTTATGTTTTGTGGCTTAGTGCGATTTATATATAATATAATCTATATATCATATATCAAGTTATAGATATGTCATATATATATATATATATACGTATATAAGTCATATATCTTACTGAAACTGAGATATGGCTTTGTTTGAGAATAGTGTAGCCACAAATCCGTTGGATTATCATCATGTTCCCTTTGATTTGATAGCTATTTGGGGATGCTCCATCATTTGCAGGGTTCTAAGTGTTTGAACTCTATTTCGGGGTTGCCATATGTATATTGTATGTATGATATATATATATATATGCACATATCTATATATCAACAAGTTCGTTCCAAGCAAAATATAGGAGTATAGCTTTGGAGAGAGAGAGAGAGAGGGAGAGAGAGAGAGAGAGAGAGACGGAGATAGGAGTATAGCAGGGCTCTGTGGCGCCCACAGGTAAAAAAGTGAAACATGTGTTGAATGAAAAGGGAACCACCTATCTAATCTTATCTACCTTTATGGGGACTGGGGGGTCCATGGTGAACCACTTCACTCATGGCTGAGGGAGGCATCCCACTCAGCAAAAGTACTTCAGTAGGCTTACCTGGTAATTCATCCTACCACCTCATTTCCGTTTGAGGAACCGGCCCAATTTGACGGTTTTCCAGGAGATGATTATCACGTTTCGAATACTCATACCCTTCAGGGTGGGGTTATATCCACCCACTTCTTGGCAGTTATACCATGGTATGACATACCACTATACGTACTGTATCATTCTACCACCATGTTGGTTTTCATCTATTTTTGGGGTCACAGTCACAGTTACCATTAAACAACCATTTTCAACAACCATTAAACCACATTTTTCACCACAACCAAAACCACAAGCATTCAACAACCATGAAACAACCAATCCAGAAGTCACATGAAGTCACCAGATCGCAAGGTGAATGTCTCCACATGTCCACCCTACTTTGACTTCACCGTGAAGGATCTCTTTCCGACGCCCGGTGAATTTTTTTTTGGATCTCGTGGGATGGAGACTGGAGACTCTCGGATCTGTAACATACTGTGGGCTATAAATGGCTATCATCCAAAAAACAAAACAAAAAATATATATATATATATTGAATATTTAGATATAATGGATCCATATTTGATCATGGCTATTTAGATATAATGAGAATGACTATATAATGGGCTATAAATAGCTATTTATTTAGATATTATATATAAATATGAGGTTCATAGCACTGGCAAAATCGAAGGAATGTTAACGGATAAATGGCTATAATCCAGAATGTATGAGGTTCCTGGAACTGGCAAAATCTAGGTTAAATGTGCCATGGGTGCTTGTCGAGTCGAAAGTAGGCATGGTAGAGCTAGAATGATTGAATTTTCTTGGAGCCGAATGTTTCTTTTACATGGGCCTAGGACCCTAGGGCCTTTTTAATTTGCATGATCATCCAGTCCCTGAAAGGAGGCTACCCCACAGACTTGCGGATGACGACAGCAAAAAACTGATATGATTTATGTCAAATGTTATTTAAGAGCTTCAAAACAACACATGTTTTGCAGGGGCCATCAAATTTAGTCATATGGTTACATATCGCATGATATCCCCATCATTATTGCACGTTTCATACCTCTTCGCCCCAAAAAAACACACATATATATATATACACGGTCATATATGGTTTACAGTATACAGTATATATTATCTTCTACTACTAGTACATGCCAACAATGATATAATACAATATATATATATAATATAATATTATTATATTTATAGCATGTTACATATTAAATAAACACACAAACAAATATATGTGTTTTTTTGTATATAAATCCATGATAGTGACATGCTTGGTTAAAAAATAGCCATGTGTCATTAAATCAGATTAAATCACCATATGTTTGTTGCTTAATCTTGATGGTCATAACCTACCCGCTTGTCCCTGTAACAGGGAGACTGGTAATTCAGGAAATACCTTCGGACTGGCCATGGGCAGATCGCCGCCATCGACTTCGCCGTGGATCAGGAGGAGAGCGTAGCGACTCGCGACCGGTGGCGGTTCATATAGCAGTATGGGTGTGTCTGAAAATAGTGTACCCCTAAACCCAATGGTTAATGATCATTATCCCTGTTAAATGGCTATAATTGGGAATATACCCTATTTTCAGACAAACCCGTATAGCAGATGTGTGGCTTCAAAAATGATAACATATAATTAATGGACTGCTAATGCGTTATTATGGGAATGTTTATAGCTGATGTTCATAGCTAATGGAAAACATATCCCGCTAATAGTCTCATAGTGGATTCAATGGATACCATGGACTAAATAGTGGGAGTTTAATGGGCTTTACTGGGATTTAAAGGGCTAATTAGAGGGATATTGATATATATATATATATATTATATATATGTATATGTATATGTATGTGATATAAAGGGGGTTGTGACAGGCTCAGCAATAGGTACAAAACCAAGAATTTGATGAGATAAAATTATAATTTCATAGGAAACTCATTTGTACATTGGATATGGGAGATAAGCAGCCAACTTGATAAGATGTGTGTTCAATAGCTACATTGATATTAAGTATTGGTAAATAGCGTTAGATATTAAATTTTAAATCCTGGGTATCCATGGGTATCCAATCTTAAGCCTCCTTAAGAGATTTCTGGGTGGACCTAAAAGGGATCCATTCCTGGTGCTCAGGTCATGGGAGACCAGGGTCCTGGATGGATCTCGATGGGCTGACCATTGAAATAGTGGATTTTCCCATTGAAAATGGTGTTGATTTTCCATAGTTTAATATGTAAACGTTTACCAGAGGCTACCAAAACGCACACATGGACATAGTTTCCATTGGTTATTCCGAGGAAGGTCTTGCAGTCAATCCGGAGCCAGCCACTGGAAAGTCACACGTCATCAACTTCCCACATCCACATTGCGGGCGCATGGAACATCTATTGGTTGCAGGTGATGTGCCCCAATTTACACTTGAAGTAGCCTCCGGTGTAGACATGTGTAAACTACCCTCCAGTAAATTAACATAGACCCTGCCAGATAGGGGTTGGAAGACTAGTTTCCACTATAAATTGGTCATTTTCAGGATCTATGTTAATTTACCAGAGGGTAACATGTTTTTTTTAGGTAAATCAACTAATAATAACCTTTTTCCATAGCAAACTCTGAGTAAAAACTGGACCCTGTCACCTGGCAGGAAACCTTGAACTATGGGGTGACAGTAGCCTTCCACCGTGGTGACAGAAAAGGTTTACCGCATTGGTTCCTGGGCAGTTCGAGACTTCGCAACGGGACCTTTCATTGGATTGGTTTACCCTCTGGTAAACTAACATAGCTATTGAAAATTGCCATTTATAGTTGATTTATACCTTAAAAACATCTGATTTTCCAAAGTTATGTTAGTTTACCAGAGGGTAAGGGACATTTTTACAGGAACACCCATTTTTCTTGATGGTAAAAACATGTAAGAACAACGGTTTCCGGTTGAGATTTTCCCTTCAACTAATCCAATGGACCTTCTCCCAATCTCATTCTTGGCCGAAGCTTTGGCCATTGGTGATCGTGGCCCTGTGGGACCCGGGGCCTTTTTGATGGAATAGCTATTTTTCGGCGTTGTTTTATATACCGGGTATTTGAAAATAGCATGCAATGAGCATATATAGAGATTAATTCTGAATCTTAAAATATGTATTAATACCCATATTAATATAAACATTCTTAATCTGTATTAATTACAACGACCTCAAGGCAACCTCACTGAAGTGATGGTTCCTGTAGGATGGGGTAACTCCCAAAATAGCGGGACTGTTCAGCTTTGCTGCCTTGCTGACCCTGGCTGCAAAAGGGTCCAGCGGTGTGTGTGTTTTTTTTGTTCCAACCCACTCCAATGTTTTTGTTGGGCGCGTTGAACACCAATTTTATACAATGTCAACCCCGAATGAATAGACTCCTAGGCTGTTTAATTTATGTAAGTAGGACATTAATACTGTTTGAGGGGCGGTACCACCCTAATTGTATAATAAACAGCAAGAGCAGGACGTCCTGGACGTCCGGTGGCGCCTCGGCCATCAGGCGTGTGATGACCAATGCCACTGGCGTGGGTGGCATGCCAATCTCCAGAACTGAGCCTTGGTGAGTCTTGTGGCATGGATAAACTTGCTTGGTTTGCTGGATCTTGATGAAAGTGGTAAACATGGTAAACTGGTAAACCTTGGCGATCTTTTGCGTGCCTGATGGGCTTTACCCCCAACAAGTTGGGAAAATGATGGTACCATCGGGTGCGGTCTTCTTGGGAATGGTCTAAGTTTGGCTTAGGGTAGAAATCGCCATGCCGGTTGAACCATTTTTGCTGTGAAAGAACACGTTGATAGCTATTCGCATTTTTTGTGACATTTTGAGAGCAAAACATGCCAATTCTTTCACGTATATAATATTTCTTATACGGGCAAGCAGAGGGTCTAAAATGCATGATCCGCTTTACAAGTCGGCGCCCAGACCCATCCAACAATAGCAACCTCTGAAGAGATGGACCATCATTTTCCGGTAAATTTCTGGCCCTCACTTGGTGTTATACCGGTTTACCCCATGTTCAAACACACCTAAAGGGGGGTAAGACGTAAACATATGGCAAAACCGAACACATAAAGTATTCGTTGAACATGTTTCCTTAAATACAGATATAACGATTATATATATATATATGTAGATATATATATATATATTCATGTATATATACATATTAAATATGATTATGCATGCATATGATATTATATATATATATATATTTAGATGCACTCTATACACACACATTTGTATATATTTGTATATTATACACATACCACACACACACACATAAACCACCGGAAACCGAGGATGCGATGAGGGCCCCAGAGAAGGATTCCGGGAACCAGCTCACCGACGCTCGGTTTGGCAAGATGGCAAGATGTTTTTTGCTGCCATAGAAAAATAGATGAAATAATACCCAGATACTCCATGTATGGAATATTTACCTACATTTACCCCAAAAATAGCCCAAATGTAGGTAAATATTCCATACATGGAGCATCTGGGATATGAAATCAGATTTGATTAACATTTGCGGATTGAGGGAAAGGGATTAACAACGACTTTAGATCGGCCTTGATGATATTCCTGGTCGGCGACGCGTTGACTGATGATTAAGAAGACATCCATGATTTGTGGATTAAACGGAATCGGATTTGATGAAAAGAGCCTGGATGCCGGACCAAACTGTGATTTAACCAGCACTAATTTTCGGATCTATAAAACCAACCATTTGTTTCCACTCACCGTCAGAGTGAAGGTTAATGGGGATTAATGGATATTATATAATGGATATTGATGGATATTAATGGTGATTAATGGGGATGCAACTCTAAAATATGATGATTCCGTTGGTGTTTGGGGGCCATTGTGATGGGGAGGATAATCCAATCTTTTGACCAATGGTTGGCTTGGTCGGTATCACCCTCCAGTAAACAAAGCCATGGCAATGGAAAACCCTTATCAAAAGATCTAATTACATAGATTGGTTTCTTATTAGACGTGGAGGATGCTTCCATTGCTATGTTTGATTGCCAGAGGGTACCTACACGAATTTGGTCAGTAGTTTTAATCATGTGGTTTGTTTGAAAATATTGGTTTCACTGAACCCTTAAACCCATTGATTAATCAGAATATGTTCCCAACACCAGGAATTGCCATGTGGGGAGTATATACAGTATATACTGTACATACTGTACCTCATTTTCAGACACAACCCATGTGCCATATGCTCTTATTTTATTGGGCATGGCTAGAACAAAACAGTGAACACGGTTGATCGCTAGACAATTGCATTATATACCTTAAGCAACCAAACCCTGAAAAAATAAGGGTTTAAGAAAACTACATATTTCAGGTTTTGGTAGGTCAATGTATACTTGTTCAGTTTTTCGTGTTTGGGCCTCAAACAACATGCTATGCAGCGGTTGCTTTCTAGCCAGCTTGCGGAGTGTTTCCGCCTGGTGTAGATGGTTATAACCGGCCAATACCGTAGCGGCGTAGCGATTGAAACCGCCAATCATGATGGAATTGGATCGGATCCCATATATGCCATATATCAGATTGCACAACCCTCAGTTTTGCCTTTTTTGCATCCTTTTGCCATGTCTTGCCATGTTTTGCCAGAGTGCGGTCTTGTATTCGAGTTGAGTTTCCCCTCATGTCCGGTGAACGTCTGCAATGCGGTTGAAATCCGCCAGTCCTCGCTTCCGTTTGATGAGCCACTTGTTTTGGCACCTGAAGTTACCGGAAGTTACCTGAAAGTATGGGGATTGGTTAAACCATGTTAAACCCAATGATGCTGCACTTGGGGTTATTTTATGTTCGTTTGATATGAACCACAGGGTGCCAGGGTGCACATTTCCCAGCTGCTCAGTTTACCATGGCATCCAACCACGTGTCGGCCACACAAGCGCATGCGCCCTCCAGAGATTCCAGAAATGAGAAGCAGATGCTGCCTGGCTGCCATTAGGAACTTGCCTAGTTACTGTCTAGTAATGACTTACAGTTTGCAGTAGGAAATCAGTGAAGATAACACTTTGTCAATAGGTAAATCATCTATAAATGGGCAGTATTCCATTGCCATAGCTACTTGAAACTGCCGACGGGTATCAATATGCTCAACGATGGCTCGATGGCTCCAAAAGAACCATGATCAATACTGTTGAGAAGGCCAACAATTGCGAGGGCCCAATCAAAATGGGATGCAAGTCAGATAAAACCAATGAACGATGGTCAACAGGTGGCTTGTACCTCAAGTATCTCAAGTGACCAAACCAGAATTCAAAGGACCCTGGGATACCCTGGGCCTGTAACCCATCACATACCAATCTCAAGAGCTGGGGATCGGCCCTGTTAATTGGCATATTGAAAACAATCCTCCGTTTGAGGTTTTGTGTATGCTTGCGCATGATCATGTCCCATTGACTGGGAATTTCCCATGAAACATCTAAAAAAATCAGCATTCAAGCTATCGTTGTTTTTTTGTTTTGCGTCACCAAGTCAAATCAGAACATCACATTATAACAACGGAGGATTCAAACAAAGAACCGGGTGCAATTGGCCTTCAAAGAGCAGGGTCGAAGTAGCCATGCTAGGAGTGTTTCCCACTGATTGCATGTTGGAGTTCAGCCAGCAACAGAAGACATATCCATCCTGGTTGGTGGTTTCAAACATGTTTATGTTCCATTTCATATATGCGATAATCATCCCAACTGACTTTCACTCCATCATTTTTCAGAGGGGGTTGGGGCTCAACCACCACCAACCAGCACCATAGGTTTCTCCACTCCTGAGAAACCTCCAGTCCTTGATGGTCAAGCTATGTCAAGTGTACGATGTGTGATTCCACACACGGATCGTCCATATTGATTCCATATTGTATCGACTCTTCCAGAACTGCATTTTTCAGGGCTATCCAAGTTTATATCGTCAATGTGAATCGTGCTGCCCATTGATGTGCTGCCCATCGGATCAATCCCGAGAGAGACCCGTTATCCGACCAAGGTCCATCAACGGACTGTACCTGGGTGTTGTGCTGACCATCGGCAACCTCTTCCGAAGCATCTTCAAGGTTCGTGGTTGTGATGTTGGGGCGGTTGGGGCGGACCAGTGGCTATGGTCACCCATGAAATCCATTGAAATCATATGAAATAGGAACAAATAGTCAACCAATGATAATACTGATTGCTAATTATATCATGGTGATTTTGAATTATATGATTTTATCGAGAAAATAGTGGATTAGTATGGATTAGTCTAAAATGCCCAGCAGCTACGTCTAAATACTGTCATAATACTATCAAATGAAGGTCAGTTGGTTCAACCCATCTTGGTTTGGATTGGGGCCCTGCCGGTTTCAAATAAAATTGGTAGAGTCCTTTGTCGGCTTTGTCGGGTCCCAACAAAAGATGGTTGGCCCTCCGATCAAGTCGTCAAATGGGTTCAAAGGGGGATTGGATGTGCATCCCAATTTTAGTAAATGGTTAATGTACTCATAAGCCATTTATATCCATTTATAATATATATATATATTTATTTATTTATATTGAACATGCCCCGTTATACTCCATTATATGGGTTTATAAATTAGCAATCCCATCCCTGTGATATTTAAAAGCCCCATTCTGTAGTCCCAAATCTGTGATTCCAGCCCCTACTGAGCCATGCTGTGCCGGGGGTACCAAAGATAGGCCATTCATATCCATGAATCATGATTAGGTTGATATGGAGATGGGTCAAAACATGTCAAAACCTATTATGATCACTTCTTTTGCAGGAATAATACATCCATTCACCAGCTTTTTTGGGGTACCTAAGGATCTAGGGCGCCAGGGTGTTTGACTCGTTGCCATATAGATAACCATGAATCAGTTGGGCCACCATTCTGGTACCGTTTCGATGCGATTGCCCCCGGGCTCGGCATTCGTAGGACAGTTCCAAACGCATGATCTATGAGGCCGGCGGAGACTAATCGGAACCATAAAATGGGCCCCAGGGCACGATGGCACATGACATCGATTAACAAGAGATGATTGGACATTTACAAGTTATATGAGCAAACAGTTGAGGATAATTGAAGTATATGGGCTCTTTTTAGGTGGCGGTGTCAAGCATGATATGTTTTATAGTGACCGGGATATTCATAGTTATCAACAGGGGTGTTCTCAACCAAGAAAAATCAAGAATATTTCAGAATTGTAGCCAACAAGCAAACTTTTCAATGCCATGAAACTGCTTGGTTTCAGTGTTTGTTTTACCCTCTGGTAAACTAACATAACTATGGAAAATCACCATTTTTCATGGGACAACTCACTATAAATGGCCATTTTCAATAGCTATTTTGACATAACCAGAGGGTACCCCCCCAAATCTGAAGTCCCTGCAATTGGGAAGATGCCCCCCCCCCCTTCAGATGCCCCTTGATGTTTGGCATCATGAAGCCTGACCTGAAACAGCCAGCGAACCGAGACACCGAGACCGGACCATGGCGATGAATTCACATCGATGCACCATTCGACCGATCGGTGCCCTATTTTCAGACGGACCCATACGATACCCTCCGGTAAACTAACAGTTTGCTATTGAAAATGGCCATTTATAGTGGATTTTCCCATTAACAGCATGATGATTTTCCATAGTTATGTGACAGTTTACCAGAGGGTATTGATCTACAAATTTACTGCAAGACCTTTGGGATGTCTTACCAAGGCAGCCGTGCGACATTTTGAGACTCCAAAGATCAGGTTCATGATGAAAGTTCGAGTTTATTGGGGATAGATCCCACAATACCCCACAGGTGTCCTTTTCCCATTGGTTGCTTGATTGTTAAGGGCCTAACCCTGCTGCACAACCATTCTACGTACTGTAAATGATATTAAATGATGGTAGATGCGATGCCAGTTGCTAGCCCAAACGTGTGTTTTCCCCAAAATGGATACAATTGATAGAACTGGCTTCAGTTGGATACCTTCCAGTAAGCTAACATAGTTCTGGAAAAACAAAGGGTATATAGAGAGAGATGACTATTACCTATATTTAAAATGATGATTTTCCATAACCATGTTGGTTTACCAGAGGATACATACCCCAACTAATCAACATTAATCACTATAGTCCCTATAACTGCTAGCTACTATGTTTATTCCTCCAATTTATCACTATTAATGATGACAAACTCTCCGGCAGGAAGTCTCAGACACGGACCTCCTCTTGGATTTGTGCGATGGCATCTACCTGGCGCGAGTGCAAGGCAACCTGCATGCGGAGTGGATGCTCTACCACGAAGCTTGCCCTGGTCATGGGATGCCTCATGGGCACTGATGGGCATGCCTTCGTGCCGGCACGGGCAGGGCACGGTTTTTTCTGAGTTAAAAAGAGACCTGAAAATTGCGCAGCATATCACAACATCATGTCATACCAATTCACACCATAGTTTGAAGGGGATAGGGAATAGTCAAAACCTAGGTATACCTAGTGATATGCCAAACGTTGAGCCAGAGGGGGGGAAAGGGACGGTGCAGGAACTTGGAAACACTGCCATGGTGACAATGGTGACAAACCCCAAATTAAAGGATTACCCTCCAGTAATTGTAGAGCTACATAGATATGGAAAGGAATCATAGATATGGTTCCAGGATATTCCTACAATTAAAGGATTACCCTCCAGTAGCCTAACATAGATATGGAAAATCAACCAATTGTAGATCTCGGTGAGAGAGAGAGAGAGAGATATATCATTTTCCAGGTCAGCGCATGGATTTCCATAGCTCGAGAGGTTTCACTGGATTCAACAAGATTGGCAATTTTTTTTCCATATCAATTCCCCACAAACGAACATAGAAGCATGGCGCCCTTACATATTGCTTTTCTACCGAAAGCCATGGTGGGTATCTACATGGAGTAAAGTACAACCATCAAATAACAAGCCCCCATAGAAAGTGGGTGATCATCAGCATCATCATCATCATCATCATCATCATCAGAAACCCATCAATCATAGTTTCCAATCATTTTTGGTTTGTTGTAGGTGCTTAATGTGGCAAAACCAATAATAAATCTACCATTTGGGGATTTTTGGTGATGATTTCGGGATGCTTTCATATAGGGTTTTTACCACATTATGATGACATTATGGGTACATATGGTAATAAGCCCAATGAGTTAAGTTGAGATACAACCCTCATAACTATGGCTATGCAACCACTTTTTATGTACCCTCCGGTAAACTAACATAACCATGGAAAATCACTATTTTTAATGGGTAAATCCACTATAAATGGCCATTTTCAATAGCTACAGTACGTTAGTTTACCAGAGGGTACATTCAATCCGATGCACGAGATCCGGCGCCGGCCGCTGGGCGGCCCGTGGGGTTTCCCAGGAATTGATTCGCATCTACCGCAGCCCAGAGCTCTTAGCCCACCTCTCCGGCAAGAAAGGTGGGGGGTCAGGGGGGGCGCTGGGTTGAGGGAGGACACCTATATAGATCTCCAACGTTTGACCATATGTGGACATGGCTCGGCATGATTTTGTCATATTTGGTCAATGATGTGTGTGCGTGTGCGTGCTAGTCGTTCCATCATTTTGTTCATGATTATTATCCTGGAAAATGAACAATGCATGAAATATGCATGTTGCTACTAAAACCATGCACGCATGTAGACGCCCTCCGTGTCTTTACGGTCTGTTTGTTTGTTAGTCACACAAGTGGGAGCCTGGATGAGCCTTTCTGCCTGGATGAGAACGTGTTTGTGTGTGTGTGTGTCTGTTGCCAATCAAAACCTTGCGGTTCATTTGCATGACGCCAACAGTTTGTTCTGCGCGGGCCTCCGCATGTCCTGAGAAAAATATTTCTGGTGTCTTTTCTATGAACGCAATGTATGAGCATAGATTCAGGAAGTCCGAAATGCTTGCAAATTTACACTTAAATGCCTGACAGGAAAACAATGGAAAACAAATCAGAAAATCCTTTGCTGAGGTAATGTAGAAGCGACTAGTGACTAGTGACTAGAGAACTTTTTCCATGCGCGTGCAGCCTAAAGAAAAATGGGCCATCAAAATGTATAAACCACCCCCAAAGTCACCCAAAGGCCGAAGGATTATCGCATAGCTCCACCGATTGATTCAGGCAAATATTTCAACAACATGGATGGCATGGGAACTCTCCATCTTAGTCACTCTGGGGATCCAGTTTCCACTAGATTAGTTTGGTCGCCACGAAAGAAAAACATATCATGTCAGATTGTCAAATATTGTCAATTTCCTACACATGCATTTGGTCCACAGCTATTGGTTGTGTCTCTGTCTTGGCGGATGGGTTTAGCAATGGATGAAGGTCTTGTTCGAATTGCCTATTATTATATTGACCCATTGATTCCATTATTCATCTATTAATTAGCTATCCACTATTAATATCTATTAATCCACTGTTATCCTAATAATTATACAGTAGTGGATATTAGTGGATGATTAATACCCTTATCCACTACTATCCACTATTAATGATTGATGATAAATGGCGGATAGTGGTTAGTACTTAGTACCATTACTATTATATACTTACTGATATATTATTATAGATATTACATATGTTGGTGGTTTGGAACACTTTTTATTTTTCCATATCTTGGGAATAATCATCCCAACTGACTTTCATATTTTTCAGAGGGGTGGGGCTCAACCACCAACCAGCATATATCATTCATGCCATTCATGATTGATCTACCCTCTGGTTATTTAACATAGCCATGGAAAATCCATTATAAACGGAGGCTTTAGTGGGAAAATCATCTGTGTAAATGGGTCATGGCTTCCATGGCTATGTTTACCAGAGGGTAAATTTCCCATTAAGTCACTTTTAGCCATTAATAACCAGAATCACCACTAATTCACCATTAATGACCATTAACCATAGATATTCCCATATAAATCACCATAGATATTCCCATATTAACCACCATTAAATCACCATTAATCACCATTAATAGTGGCATATCGCTGTCGCTCCAGGCGCCGCCGCCGCGCTCGCCGCGCCGCCGAGCGCGGCGCCGTCGCGAGACAGCGCCACAACTTCGTCGCGGGTGCGCTGGGGCATCGTGGCGGAGCACGTGAGGCGACAGGGCCGGAGACAAAGGAGAGAAACATGGGGAAAACATGGGGAAAACCATAGGAAAATGTGGGAAAATCATAGGAAAACAATGGAAAACCTGAGAAACATCATAAAATATGATGGGGGAACTAGGCTAACATGGGATTTGAAGTCTGAAATTGAGGGAAATGCAGCATAATGCAGCTGTCCCGTTGATGCTGGATACAGATTCTGATGCAAATTCACTGGATGATAGTTCTCACCTGGTAAGGGGGCAATCGGCCGCAGGTCCCCATGATTGTTGCAATGATTTCTAGGGTTTTCCATGGTTTTCCATTGCCAAGTTTGATGAAAACAGAGGAATTCCATGGAATTCCCGCATTTTCCCGCTTTGTCTCAGGCATGCCAACAGTGAAGCCAGAGAATGATTCAAAGTGCTGGAGGTCTCGAATGTCTCGATGATTTTCGTGACAAAAAAAGGATTGGAAATGAAGAAATCCAGGTGTTCCACAGAGTTAATGTCTATTTTTGTCAGGCATCACCAAGTTCACAAAACAAATGAGGCTTGCAACTCACAATATGGATTAAGTGCGCCCAATAATGAGGGTTCATAGTGGTTCATCTCCCTAATTCAGGCCTTAGTGTTGCGGGGATCAGGCATTTTGGGAAATACATATGGAACCCAGCAACAGTCATTTTCCAGGGTGGTTTTAGGAACTTTTGTGGTTTTACCTTCCAAGAAAATGCTATCCAGAAATGTGGAGTTACATATATCCAAGTTTACGACAAGTTTTCCAGAACATCATGATGTCTTTCCGCTTTTTTTTCTCGATTTTGGAGCAACAAGAACGAATTCTTGGACAAGACTGCGCCTTGATTCATCATGTTAGCAGATTTGTTGCGCAATTTCAGATGGCCCAGTCGACAGATCCGCAGCGTACTGCCGTACTGCTGCTACTGGTCCAATGAACCCACTGCAAAACTGCAGGGGAGATTCGATGGGCGGCTTGGCGATGGTTTCAGGCTGACATATGTTGTCCATCAAGAAGGGGAGAACATCCATTGACTTAATTAGCGTAAATATCTACTATATGCACCATAAAAACTGCACTATAGCAATTGTAATTGCGTTTGTTTCCATGATATCCTCTATATTTACACCTAATTCTGCAATACTAGCCACCGTTCATTTGTCCTCAGTCTGTTTGTGGGTCCCAGTTTTGAGATCCACAGTTTGACCGCATGGGTTGCAATTCATCATGCCATGGTTGGGCAGCTTCTTCACTAACAAGCGATGGTTTTGTGTGTTGGAAAATCGTGGAAACCGACGGCCATTTCAATAGGGAACATCATGCTGATAAACCAATGGATTTAGGTTGCCTTTTTTCCGAACCAAATGAGCCATGTTTATGTGGAGTCAAACTAATCTCTAAATTGTGCCTTTGTTGACGGTAGCAATCCAAAGGATGAGTCATGATGACCCTGAGAAACCAGTCGGCTCCTGACCCATCGCGTTCGATGTCCCGAATTTGCTGAGAAAAGTTGTTGCTGACGGGTCCCTCCTCCCAGGGCGGTGAAAGTTCACCTGGGCCACCAGAAAAGGTCTTGCACGGGCGGGTCATTTTCATCCCAGTCATAGATGCCCAATTTCACCCAAATCGGGATGGTGTCAATTCGGTTCTTTTGTGAATCCCTAAGCACTGCTACCGACCAGCTATGACCAGCCAAGCTGATTGCTTTCCCGGCCCAAACCTTTGCTTCCTCTTCGATTCCGAGATTACTGATAAACGATAAACTGACTGATTGAGAAGACTAGCTGGTAAACGTATGTTACTGAAGAGCTAGAATTTTTGTGAGCTCTGTGCAGGGTATTTGAGGTGATCATCATCTTTCTTGGTCCAACGAGTATTTTTCATTTGATTGGTGGTTTCAAACATGTTTTATTTTCAGCCATAGTTTGGATGGTGACCCCCAATGAGGCATGCTTTTTGGGATGGGTTGAAAACACTAATCAGTCATGGTTATTGAACCCCCTGTAGTTCTGAAGGGTACAAGGTGGTGCCCCCCAGTTATATATGTTTGATATGGTTTGATGCCTTGCAAACAACCATGAAGAGTCTGGATGTGTCAAATTAAAACCTATTTAAAACCCATTATACAGTGTGTTAAATCAGTTAAATCCCGTTGAAAACCCAACGTTCCCTTCCTGCGATATGGCACCAGCAGTTTTCCC